AATAGGTGAGCACACACACACACACACACACACACACACACACACACACCTACAGCTTCATACTTCAACAGAAGGGAGCTAGGTTACCTAGCAGTAAAATAGGTACCTGGGTGTTAGTCAGCTGTCACGGGCTGCTTCCTGGGGGTGGAGGCCTGGTCGAGGACCGGGCCGCGGGGACACTAAAAAGCCCCGAAATCATCTCAAGATAACCTCAAGATAGGTGTAGAGGTCCCTAAACAGCAGCAGAAGGAAACTACTCAGCAGGTAACCAGTTGTCTACTTCCTCCTGCTGCTGCTGCTGCAGCTGCTCTGCAACAGCAGTAGGAAGTCGTTGCTGCTGCTCCCTCCCGTGGTACTGACACCCAGTCTGTCTAGCCGCCCTCATCACACATCCTAACCCCCATTTATGGGTACCACATGACCTGCTAGGTTATTGTGGTGGGCGGGGGTGGTAGCACTCGATGGTGAGTACTGAGTGATGGCAGTCAGTGGGTAGGTGGTAAAGGTGGAGGGATGGCTAAGGGAGAAGATTCAGCACTAGGTGGTGGGTAATCTCGGAGCTAGACGGTTGAGTGCGCGGCAGTGTACGGGGGATAGTGGTGATGGCAGTGGGTGATAGTGAAGATGAGTCAGATGAGTCATGGGGCACTGGAAGCTTACTCTAACAGCGGCGTCTACGACTCATTTGCGTTTCCTCATCCACCTTGTCCTCTCCATTCAATATCTTGTATGCTGTGATCACGTCCTCCTCTGTTACTCGTCTCCTGTATAGCTGTAGGATCAAGTTCCCTTAAAACCTATCCAATCTTATGCTACACGTACGAAAATGAGCACAGATATTTCATTAAGTAACTATGTTAATTTCTTCCGGAATATATTGTGAATGTATGTAGATCTATCAACCTTCCATAACACAGCTACCGTTGACAGTGTGAATATCGTACCTGTCCACGTTGATACAGACTCGCAAGAGACGTAGAGGTCTTTAAATAAGTCTTTAAATAACTAAGTTCTATCCTCATCTTGGTGCTTCTCAACACGCTTGTCAGGACTTCGTGGTCCCAACACCAAGCCCCTCATAAAACTATCAAGAAACCCGTGTAAATCCTCAACGAGCCGGTTCGTGAAGCCTCGACCGATCCGCCATAAAAGTGATGGTGGTGTGTTGAGTGAGGTGGTGGCGGCGTCCCCACGACCCGCTCAGCGGGGCGCTGACGGCACCTCCCTGATAGTGTCAATGTCTGCCTGTCTCTCTAACCCCAGGGGGCGCTCAGGCGGGCAGGGGCGAGGTGGAGAGGCAGAGAGTGGAGGACTTTGGAGGACGAGGGAGGAGAGAGAGAGAGGAGAGAGAGAGAGAGAGAGAGAGAGAGAGAGAGAGAGAGAGAGAGAGAGAGAGAGAGGGAGAGAGAGAGAGAGAGAGAGAGAGAGAGAGAGAGAGAGAGGAGAGAGAGAGAGAGAGAGAGAGAGAGAGAGAGAGAGAGAGAGAGAGAGAGAGAGAGAGACAGAGAGAGAGAGAACTTAGAAAGAAGAAGGGAGAGAGAGAGAGAGAGAGAGAGAGAGAGAGAGAGAGAGAGAGAGAGAGAGAGAGAGAGAGAGAGAGAGAGAATGTTGGGGGGAAAAGTGAAAAGGGATGGGAGAAAAAGAGGAGCAGGAATTAGGGAAAAAGAAATACAGAAATTAGGGAAAAAAAAGAAATATAGGTGTAGTAGGACTCACACCCCAGAAGTGACTCGTACCCATACTCCGAGGAGCAACGCAACTGGTCCTGTAGTTACCAGTTGCGTTGCTCCTGGGAGTATGGGTTCGAGTCACTTCTAGGGTGTGAGTTTTCAGTCATATATATATATATATATATATATTATACAGCTGTCTCTCATGCCAAGGGGGGTTCAGATCACTTATATAATACTACACAGAGTGTAGAGAGCAATTGAGCACTCAGCCACATTAGATGATTGAAAAGTCACTGTAAAAGCAACAAAATGAGTCTGACAACAGGGGTAGAAAAGCCAAAGATATATGAAAATATCCGCAATAAGTCAAAGCGGATGGATGGTGAGGCAGATAAGATGTACGTCACCTCAACAATTCACCGCAACGCATCACCCGACATCTTAAGTATCCAAGAGTGGCGTCAATTCGACGTTCAATGTTATCAACGTTGAAAATAACTTTGCTCCTGGATATCTTGCCCCACTGGGCAGCTGGGGTCTTATCTTAGCTACCGTGCCGTCGGTCAACGGGACGACGCATTCTACGTCGTCGGGGAGTAGACTAATGTTCTCAGTCTCTGTCGTTTAGTGGGAAATATATTTAGTTTCTTGTACACCAACCCTTGGGGAGGAATAAAGTGGTTTTGTTCATAAAATGTGACATATAACTTGCCTCTGAATCATTGTTATCGTAAGCGCATAGCGTTGGGTCAGGGAAGACCAGAGCATGTGTAGTGGGTCGAGCTGGTAGGGCTTTAGGATAGCTTACCATGCCTCTGTGGTACAGGCTTGTGTGTGTGTGTGTGTGTGTGTGTGTGTGTGTACTCACCTATTTATACTCACCTATTTGTACTCACCTATTTGTGCTTGCAGGATCGAGCTTGGCTCTTGGATTCCGCCTTTCCAGCCATCGGTGTTTTACAGCAATGACTCCTGTCCCATTTCCCTATCATACCTAATTTTAAAATTATGAATAGAATTTGCTTCCACAACCTGTTCCCCAAGTGCATTCCATTTTTCCAGCTGTGTGTGTGTGTGTGTGTGTGTGTGTGTGTGTGTGTGTGTGTGTGTGTGTGTGTGTGTGTGTGTGTGTGTGTGTCTTGTTCGTGTTTGTGTTAGGGTCGAGCTTCTGCTCTTAAGCCCTGCCTTTGGACCACGTCACCACAAAACATCTCTGTCACTCATTTAGTTCTCCACTTTCAATTTATTTTCTGATTTATCTTCTTTATTAGACGATTGCCTTTAGAAACTTGTTCGTTCGTGTCATGTCTACTTCTGTTTCACATAACTCAATCCCCTAAGTTAAGGAACGAGTTTTAATGCACGAAATCAAAAGGAGCCATTAAGAGGATTCGAACCTGTACACTGGTTACTCCCTTAGGTCACTTCACCACGTCATGGTTAAAGCAATGCAACCTTGCTACATTTGTTGGCTTTATTTAGTATTATTTAAGGTGCGGTTCCAAGCTTCGACAGCGTACTCAACAGTGGGTTCCACACGATTGATCTTGGTTGAGCTAGCGACGAAAGTTTTCTTGTAACTGTCAAGTTCGGCTCTCAGTGCATTGTAACTCTGTGTTCTAATCCTCCTCATTAGTTCAGGATTGTGTTTCTAATTGTGTTTGTATCTTCAAAAAACCACCAGCCAGTGACACCCCACCGGCCAGGACAGAAATCCCGCTGGCCAGGACAGAAATCCCGCTGACCAGGACAGAAACCCCGCTGACCAGGACAGAAATCCCGCTGACCAGGACAGAAACCCCGCTGACCAGGACAGAAATCCCGCTGACCAGGACAGAAACCCCGCTGACCAGGACAGAAATCCCGCTGGCCAGGACAGAAATCCCGCTGGCCAGGACAGAAATCCCGCTGACCAGGACAGAAACCCCGCTGGCCAGGACAGAAATCCCGCTGGCCAGGACAGAAATCCCGCTGACCAGGACAGAAATCCCGCTGACCAGGACAGAAATCCCGCTGACCAGGACAGAAACCCCGCTGACCAGGACAGAAACCCCGCTGACCAGGACAGAAACCCCGCTGGCCAGGACAGAAATCCCGCTGACCAGGACAGAAATCCCGCTGACCAGGACAGAAATCCCGCTGACCAGGACAGAAACCCCGCTGACCAGGACAGAAACCCCGCTGACCAGGACAGAAACCCCGCTGGCCAGGACAGAAATCCCGCTGACCAGGACAGAAATCCCGCTGACCAGGACAGAAACCCCGCTGACCAGGACAGAAACCCCGCTGACCAGGACAGAAACCCCGCTGCCCAGGACAGAAATCCCGCTGACCAGGACAGAAATCCCGCTGACCAGGACAGAAACCCCGCTGACCAGGACAGAAATCCCGCTGACCAGGACAGAAATCCCGCTGACCAGGACAGAAATCCCGCTGACCAGGACAGAAACCCCGCTGACCAGGACAGAAATCCCGCTGACCAGGACAGAAATCCCGCTGACCAGGACAGAAATCCCGATGACCAGGACAGAAACCCCGCTGACCAGGACAGAAATCCCGCTAACCAGGACAGAAACCCCGCTGACCAGGACAGAAAGCAGGGGTCAGTGACGCAGGCAACACCACCAAACGACCAGCTGACACTTCAGCACAACAAAACAATTTCGGGCAAGTGTTTCTTGACTCTACCCACCAAGATCATATAGCATCCACTTTGTCTCTACTAAAGAAGGAGAGCACGGAAGCCACACAGCAACACTGACATCAGAGCACATCACCGCCATCCTTCGCTTCCCGGAAGATAGCCAAATCGATGTTTAAGAAAGTCACTATCCCCCCCAGGCGGTAAGAATAATTTCTAGAAACAGCGAGGATACCACTCACCGAGATGGCAGCTACGAGGAAGATCAACCTAATGAGACTGACAAATTAAAGTCAAATTGCCTACCAGGGAGGATTCTCTAAGGTCCTTAAGGCATGCAATTCAACACCTAAAGCCAATAGAACCAACCATTCCAAGTGGTATGGTAACAATTTGAATTCAAGCCATTACGGTCGACCTACTCCCTTCACATAACCCTTTCATCCCCTCTATCCCGTCCCTTCCTTAACCCCTTACTATCCTTACTATACAGTACAACACTAACTATCCTCCCCAGGGCCATTGCGCTCCCAAACAGTTGAGCCAGGCGAGCGCGGGGGCCAAGCTAGTGTGATCCTTCACTAAGCCTTGCAGGCCGTCAGTGGCTTAGTAGGATGCATGATAAACAAATTAATTCGAAAAGGAGGGTGTCGCCCCGGCGCTAACGCAGATCTGTTCAAGCCCAGCTAGTCGCCTCCAGCAAGACTTGTGCAGCACCAACTACGTGGGAACTTGTTGGTGGAGCTGGGTGGGATCTGGTTGATAGCCGGAGGCTGTTGGTGGCGCTGGGTGGGATCTGGTTGATAGCCGGAGGCTGTTGGTGGCGCTGGGTGGGATCTGGTTGATAGCCGGAGGCTGTTGGTGGAGCTGAGTGGGATCTGGTTGATAGCCGGAGGCTGTTGGTGGAGCTGGATGGGATCTGGTTGATAGCCGGAGTTGTTGGTGGTGCTGGCTGGAATCTGGTTGATAGCCGGAGGCTGTTGGTGGTGCTGGGTGGGATCTGGTTGATAGCCGGAGGCTGTTGGTGGAGCTGGGTGGGATCTGGTTGATAGCCAGAGGCTGTTGGTGGAGCTGGGTGGGATCTGGTTGATAGCCGGAGGCTGTTGGTGAGCTTGGTGGGATCTGGTTGATAGTCGGAGGCTGTTGGTGGGATCTGGTTGATAGTCGGAGGCTGTTGGTCGTGCTGGGTGGGATCTGGTTGATAGCCAGAGGCTGTTGGTGGAGCTGGGTGGGATCTGGTTGATAGCCGGAGGCTGTTGGTGGAGCTGGCTGGGATCTGGTTGATAGCCGGAGTTGTTGGTGGTGCTGGCTGGAATCTGGTTGATAGCCGGAGGCTGTTGGTGGTGCTGGGTGGGATCTGGTTGATAGCCGGAGGCTGTTGGTGGAGCTGGGTGGGATCTGGTTGATAGCCGGAGGCTGTTGGTGGGATCTGGTTGATAGTCGGAGGCTGTTGGTGGAGCTGGGTGGGATCTGGTTGATAGCCGGAGGCTGTTGGTGGTGCTGGGTGGGATCTGGTTGATAGTCGGAGGCTGTTGGTGGAGCTGGGTGGGATCTGGTTGATAGTCGGAGGCTCTTGGTGGAGCTGGGTGGGATCTGGTTGATAGTCGGAGGCTGTTGGTGGAGCTGGGTGGGATCTGGTTGATAGCCGGAGGCTGTTGGTGGAGCTGGGTGGGATCTGGTTGATAGTCGGAGGCTGTTGGTGGAGCTGGGTGGGATCTGGTTGATAGCCGGAGGCTGTTGGTGGAGCTGGGTGGGATCTGGTTGATAGTCGGAGGCTGTTGGTGGAGCTGGGTGGGATCTGGTTGATAGCCGGAGGCTGTTGGTGGTGCTGGGTGGGATCTGGTTGATAGCCGGAGGCTGTTGGTGGAGCTGGGTGGGATCTGGTTGATAGCCGGAGGCTGTTGCTCTTCCTGGTGGGTGTGGTGGTGGAAGAGAAGCTGTTGTGGCTGTCGGTCGAGATTGTGGTGATGGGAAAGGCTGTAGTTGTTGCTGTTGACAAGAGTTGTAATGCAGGTAGTGGAGGCTAGAGTGCTGTTTTTGTTTCCCTGGGTTTATGCTGGGGGAGGAAGTGTTGATGTTTTGGGAGATTTTTTTGGTTTTGCTTTTATCATTCTTTTGTTATGCTCTGTTTTTAATTATTTCGATAAACTGTTGTTGATGGATCTGTTGGTGGTAGGATAATTTGTGGAGACAATTGTGTGAGTGTGGCGAGTGTGTGTGGTGAGTGTGAGTGTGGGGTGAGTGTGGGGTGAGTGTGAGTGTGTGTGGTGAGTGTGAGTGTGTGGTGAGTGTGAGTGTGTGGTGAGTGTGAGTGTGGGGTGAGTGTGTGGTTAGTGTGAGTTAGTGGTGAGTACATATGTTCGTGACTCTTTACATTCCGGTGCAGCACACTTAAAAATGTGGTTTCAATATTGGTTGAATATATATTTCAATATCTATATCACTATTGCTAAGAGTAGTAGAGGTAACTATCATTTTCACTTCTAGACGGTATAGATGACTGTACTGCTACGCTGTGTGTGTTGTAGAACACATGTCTAACTCTGTATAGCCACGTTAACCCTCATCTCGTCCACTGTTTGCCTAACCATCTGTCTCTTTCGTCCAGCTTCTCGCTAACCATCTGTCTCTCTCTCGTCCACCGTCTCGCTATCCCTCACTCACATTCTGTTCCTCTTACTTTATTTAATTTATCATCCTCCCTGTTTCTCTCTCTCTCTCTCTCTCTCTCTCTCTCTCTCTCTCTCTCTCTAGTATAATCATACTAAATCAAATATATATTTTGTACATGTTGGTTACTAGCTATGAAGCTTCGTATTTGAACAGAACCACACATGTCTGGGTCTCTCTCTGGGTCTGGGTCTCCTCCCCAGCGGCCGGTGAATCTAAGATACTACGGAAAGCGACGCAAGCCACCGAGAAAACAATATAGACGTCGGATCATCGGATGACGCTGACAGAAAACGGGACGCCTCCAACTTGACACTGAAAAATGAGCTCTGTGCTTTGAGGACCCGATCCTTCTTACCGCGGACGTTCCCTCACGCCCATGTCCCACCCCGTCCCTCTCCTCGGACTTCCCCCCCCCCCAAGCCCTCATCTTCCTCAGACGTCCCCCTACACCCTTGTCTCAACTGGAGATCCTCCACGCTTTCATCTTCCCTCATACTCCCCTCATACTTCCCTCATACTCACATCTCCACGACGTCCTCGTGGTTCCAGGACCTCCTCCACGCACTAAACTACTCTGGCATATCACGTGTGCTCGCGTCGTTCCAAAACCCCATCAGAAAAACACGTTAAATTAAACGAATGAAGAGGCATTTAAAGCCAGTTGAGTTCACACCTTTGAAAGGAAGTCTGCCAAATACATAAGATGATGGAGCAGATGCCAGGAATTAAACACAAACCTCCTCACTTATAGGTAAGAACACACTGCCAAGAACATATTGGTTAGAGTACATTCTTAAGGACAGCAGCAGCGGCCTTTAAGTCTGCAGTCCAGAAGTTAATATAGAAATTCATATCAGCTTGGAGCGAACACTGGCAAATTTAGCCTCCACCTCCAGAGCCGCTCAGAGAATGGGATATTTCCAGGCGATCATAATTGTTATTGAAAAACCAAGTAGGTATGTATTGGAGTTGGGGTAGTAGAATTAGCATATACATGGATGGTTTAGCTGTGAGAGGCAGTGCGTTTGTGTGAGCGGGTTGGTGGGTTGTGAGAGTCACTGTTTGGGTGAGAGACAGTTTGTGTGTGTGTGAGGCATTCCCACTAATCTTACGCTAAAAGAAAACTTTCTGACATCTCTACGACACACCTGAGCTCAAGCTCTTATCCGTGCCCTCTTGCTATATTGGTATTCATTGTAAACATTTCCTCTTTTTCCACTTTCCCCCCCAAGTATTTTATACGTCTGTATCATGTCTTCCCTCTCTCCCCCACCCCCCTTTCCAGCATTATCAGATTTAGTTTCTTCAGTCTCTCTTTATGCCTTATCCCTCTAGCAATTCAGGGATGAGTTTCGTTGTAAACTTTTGCACCTTTTCTTGCTTCCTAATAGTTTTTTTTTTTTTAAATGGGGCTCCACGATTGGGTGCGCGCGCGCGCGTTTGTGTATGTGTGCGCTTTGTGTTTATATTTGTGCCTGCAAGTCAGAGCTTCAACTCTTGGGCCCCGCCATTCCAACCGCTGGGGTCATCAAATGCAATGACTTGACTTAAATGTCATATATCATGTACACATTATACGTTCAGAATTTGAGTTGATTTGTTCCTTTTCCTCGTCCAGGTTATTTCTTGAAAAATAATGTTACCAATACCGACTATGGATCGAATGCACAAATTATATGCTGTTATTCCACCATAAAAGGTCCCTTTTTAGGTATACTAAAAGCCTTAACAAAAGCTACAACAATCTAGTGCTTATCATAATCATACCTGTGTTAGGCATAAATAAGTAATCCTGGGATTAATATAGGCAATAAAAAGGCATAATTTAATACATTTATGTACTTTACTAGGCCTAGAAAAGGTTCGGTTTGGTTCTGACCTTTTCTCAGCCATTCATAGCCCAAAGCGCGGACCTTTTCTATATGGATGCCGCTGTACACAGTTTGTCCATTCCATCCAGATTCGCTATAGGTGCGATCATTGTTGGCGAATAGGAGTAATTTTCGTAGCTCCATGATCATCTGTATCTCAGGCGCTCTTTGTTTTATTGTTATTCATCATTATCATATATTTTTCTACTCTTTTTCATTTCTCATAAATATTCAGTATGTCCTTATCATGTCTCCTTTCTTCATTTCTCTTGTCAAGTATCGTTAGGTTCAGATTTTCCAGTTTTGTTTCATTTTCCAGCCCATGTCATCCTGGGACGGACATAGCTGGTAACGTCTAGCTTTGTATATTTATAAAGAAGCGTTTTGAAATGGGGGTTCTACCACGTAGCTGCATATTTTAGGACTGGTCTGACGTAAGTGGTATACAGAGATCTGATTGTCTCCTTATTGAGGTCCCTGAAGCACGCCATTTTAGAGTATGTCGGTGACGCTATGTTATTTTCTTATGTGTGTTATAGGGGGTAAGACGTTATATTATGACTCCCTTTACGAGCTTCGTCTTGCTTTCATTATTTTTTTTATTGGCAATTCACTGCATTTTGTGACGTGCTGGTGGTCTCCTGTTCCACCAGCCTTAACTCAACCACTTTCCCATATTCTGGCCACCAGCCTCCTTCTGCTCCCTCCCATATCCCCGTCACACCAGCCTTCTCCTCCTCCTTCCCTTTCCTCATCCCCAGACTCAAACTGACACACTAACCCCAATCATTCGCGTGACCGTCCAACCATACCTCTCCCCTCCATCCATTTTCGGCTCTTATCCATCCAAATTCCCACTCTCCCTCCTTCCCTCCCTCATTCCATCCCATCCGCCCCTCCACCTGTCGAACCCTCACGCTTGACGCCCCCGAACCATATTCTTGATGCGACCGGAGAGGTGTCACCCGTGTATTAAAAAAGGGCCGCCACGCAACCCAAGTGTGAAATAGTGCATTCGATCAGCCGGTGATTAAACTGCCAGAAGAATTAGGGACGGTGGGAGCTGAGGTCGCCAGGCCGTGCCCGGACCGTCATTATCCGCTGATGAGGCAAATGCTGCTGCTTCTGCTGCTGCTGCTGCTGCTGCTGCTGCTGCTGCTGCTGCTCCGGCTGCTGCTACTACTGCTGCTGCTACTGCTACTGCTGCTGCTGCTGCTGCTTCTGCTACTGCTGCTACTGCTGCTGCTGCTGCTGTTTCTGCTGCTGCTGCTGCTGTTGCTTCTGCTGTTTCTGCTGCTGCAGGTTGTGCTCACCTAATTATACTAATTTCTGCTTGTGGGGGTTGAGCGTAGGCTGTTTGGAACCGACTCTCGACATTTAATCAAATGGTGTATACAGGTTCCCTAGCTAATTGATCTGTCATAATTGCATTTGGAACTGTGTATGGAGTCTGCCTCAACCACCTTACTTCTTGGTGGATTTCATTTCTTATTTACTCGCACATTGACAAATTTATTTATAATGTGTCTGTGGCTCATTTGGGTACTCATTTTGCACAAGTGTCTACTTGTGCGAGTGATACCCATACTAAACTGTCTGTCGCTATCTACCCTATCAATTTCCTTGAGAATTTTGTACATGGTAATCATGTCTCCCCACAAAACGATTATAATTTGCTATTGTCGATTCAGGCACTTTTCCTACAATAGATGTTGAGCTAATTGAGCTTGTACGACGCAAGTGATCTATTCTTCTTCATAAATATCGGCACCACATTAGCAACCCTCCATGATTCCAGTACTCTGAATGACACTAATGATTTATTAATTTTGCAAGTCAAGGATTTGTTAATGTCAGCTTTACATATAATATTAATACCATAAAGCTTAGCGTTTCCTACTTGTTTAATAACATCCTCTCTGGTAATCACTAAATTAGTCAACTACTCCTCTTCACCACCTGCATAGATTTGATAACTGCAGGTATAATATCAAGTTCTTTTCTGGTAAAGATACAGTGATGAACTTGATATAAGTACGAACAGAAATAAAGCAGATTTAGAATACCACCCATTTTTTATTTATTTTTTTCATTATCAGTCGCAAAACTTGTTTCGTTTTGAATGGCTCTGACTTCTCCTTCACCTTTGAATTATCTGAAAGAACTCTTTTGGGTTTGTTTTTGTTTGCTCTGGTATAGGCACTTCACCATTTAATTTACATTTTCTTATATCTTTAACTAGTCTTGCTAGTTTGACAATTTATTTTTTCTAGATAGACTTCTTCATTTCTAAAGTCTTTTGTATATGCCTTTAATTTTACAAGAATGATATTTTAGTTCCACGATTAATCATTTTGGGTCATTAATCTTAAATACAATTAATTATTATAACATACTGCTGCATTATAGCATACAGCTGCATTATAGCATACTGCTGTATTATAGCATACTGCTGTATTATAGCATACAGCTGCATTATAGCATACTGCTGTATTATAGCATACTGCTGTATTATACCATACAGCTGCATTATAGCATACTGCTTCAGTTAAAAAGGTATAAATGTGCTATAACATGCATTTTCATTATAATCCAGTGTCATGTAACCCACCCCTGGAGTCATACATGTCTTGTCACCCACCCCTGGAGTCATACATGTCTTGTCACCCACCCCAGGAGTCATACATGTCATGTCACCCACCCCAGGAGTCATACATGTCATGTCACCCACCCCTGGAGTCATACATGTCTTGTCACCCACCCCTGGAGTCATGCATGTCTTGTCACCCACCCCTGGAGTCATACATGTCTTGTCACCCACCCCTGGAGTCATACATGTCATGTCACCCACCCCTGGAGTCATGCATGTCTTGTCACCCACCCCTGGAGTCATACATGTCTTGTCACCCACCCCTGGAGTCATGCATGTCTTGTCACCCACCCCTGGAGTCATGCATGTCTTGTCACCCACCCCTGGAGTCATGCATGTCTTGTCACCCACCCCTGGAGTCATACATGTCTTGTCACCCACCCCTGGAGTCATACATGTCTTGTCACCCACCCCTGGAGTCATGCATGTCTTGTCACCCACCCCTGGAGTCATGCATGTCTTGTCACCCACCCCTGGAGTCATACATGTCTTGTCACCCACCCCTGGAGTCATACATGTCTTGTCACCCACCCCAGGAGTCATACATGTCTTGTCACCCACCCCTGGAGTCATACATGTCATGTCACCCACCCCTGGAGTCATACATGTCATGTCACCCACCCCTGGAGTCATACATGTCTTGTCACCCACCCCTGGAGTTATACATGTCACCTTCCAAGATGGGACTAAACTTCAAGCTTAAGACTAAGCTCTGCTCAGGTGCAACTGGTCTGACACTGCTGGCAGTAGGACCAACTCCAGTAATTTCAATACTTCTTCGTCATAGCAAGATATAAATCCAACCACTAGATGGGTCAAGAAGCACTACCCAGGGAGACGGTATCATGGCCTCCCTGGACCGTGTCCTTAGCATCACCGGCGACACTGCCGCCCCAGGACCCAGAGCACGACAGCATCATCACAGGTCTGGTCGTTCTGTCGATCGTCACACATACAATATGCCTCCATCTTCCTATTCCTCATTCTCCATTTCGTCCTCTTCTTTCTTTTAACCTTGACAGTTTTTCGTCCTTATCTCTTATCTGCTTTTCGATATTTTACTTCTCCTTAATCTACATCTTCAACTTGCCGCCCTGCTTCTACTTTGCGTTTTACTTGAATCTTCAGGAGACACAAGAAGAGGCTCCATTCTCCACACCCTACTGCTAGAACCCCTACCTCCCTCCCTCCCTCCCTCCCTCCCTTCCTAACCCCACAAACCCCCAACACGAAAATTTGTGGCGACGTTTAAAAGTTTTAAAACCCGCGACTGATTATGCAGACTGGGCTTCACGTGAGGATTTTTATGCAAATATGTAATTAGAATAATGGAGGTGGGGGTGTGTGGGGGCGATGGTAGAGGGGTGTGTGGGCGATGGTAGAGGGGTGTGTGGGGGCGATGGTAGAGGGGTGGGTGGGGGGGCAATTACAAGGGGTCATTAGCATCATGAACGAGGGGGTGTTTAGCGTGAGGACAGGTGCCTATCCGTTATTACCTGTGATTAACTTGGCATCCCTCATCGTTAAGCGGTGAGGGAGAGGGACGCGTAGGTCACTAGGGTGCTACAGGTAAAGTGAATCTTAACAGTGATTTACGTTTCAGACTTCAGACGAATTGTGTTGCGCCATTTGGGTAAGAAAGTCCCCCCTGGACTCTGACAGAGAAAACGAGGGTTGATCCGAACCTCTCACCATAAGCTCACATCGAACGAAGTGTCATCAGCTGCGTATGCAAGGTTGACTAACGTAAGAAGTGCCATTAAGAGTCTGCTCAAGGAGTCACTTACGACTTGGTATTCATAATGAGATCAATTCAGGAATATACGTCACAAGCGTAGGTTCCTCATCTCGCTACACACATATGACAGAAGTGAGAAAACCTGAGAGATATCACCCGTCACGGCGGGAAGCAAGGAAAATAATTAAAGAGAACTAGAAGATACTGCAGTCCACATTCAGGTACTGCAGCGCTCCTACAAGGCACTGCAACCTCTCATACAGGTACTGCAGCCCTCCTACAAGGCACTGCAACCTCTCATACAGGTACTGCAGCCCTCATACAAGGCACTGCAACCTCTCATACAGGTACTGCAGCCCTCCTACAAGGCACTGCAACCTCTCATACAGGTACTGCAGCGCTCCTATAAGGCACTGCAACCTCTCATCCAGGTACTGCAGCGCTCCTTCAAGGCACTGCAACCTCTCATACAGGTACTGCAGCCCTCCTTCAAGGCACTGCAACCTCTCATCCAGGTACTGCAGCCTTCCTACAAGGCACTGCAACCTCTCATACAGGTACTGCAGCCCTCCTACAAGGCACTGCAACCTCTCATACAGGTACTGCACCCCATCATACAGTCACTGTAAATTTTTCCTCATTGGGGGAAGCTCTGCTCTTCCTTTAAAGGAATTAAATTGCTTCTTCAATGCTCCCCTTAAAATTAATCTTGACCCTTTAAGTTCAAGAGCTCCCTAGAGCAACAACAGTAAACTCTCACCAGTTGAAGCTCTTGCAACTTTGTAGTTATAATCCCGGCACTTGTCAGCTCGTCAGCCAAGATTACTGCCTCACTTTCTGTAATATTGTCATATAGTAATTACCAGACTGGCGTTTTCCTTGTGTGTACGAACGATATATTTCGTTACGGCATCTCGTTATAAATGATTCGTCGTGAGACACAATGAGGATATTATGATAAATATTATGAGAAGGTAATTCACGCAGATTTATAATGAAGCATAATAATGAGAATCAAAGTTCCCTTATTCAGAAAATAATATATAAAATGTCTGGAATTAAAAAGGAAATATACGCAGTTTCTTTGTCAAAACTTCTATCTTGAAAATTTATTTACAAGATATATCTCTGGGGGAGATATCTCTGGGGGAGATATCTCTGGGGAGATATCTCTGGGGGAGATATCTCTGGGGGAGATATCTCTGGGGGAGATATCTCTGGGGAGATATCTCTGGGGGAGATATCTCTGGGGAGATATCTCTGGGGGAGATATCTCTGGGGGAGATATCTCTGGGGGAGATATCTCCTAAGGTGTCTATAGGAGAGTATGCCACATATAGCGAGTTATGCTCCGAGTAGTCTAATATTGGAGGCCACCTCTATGAGGGGAGAGGAGGGAAATATCAGAGGAAAGCACCAAGCCGTTACGACTATACAGCACTTAGAAGTCAGAATAAGGATTTGGGATGGGACGGGGAGGATAAGGAATGGTGCCCAACCAGTTGGACAGTCGGGGATTGAACGCCGAGCTGTATGAAGCGAGACCGTCGCTTTACCGTCCAGGCCAACGAGACCGTCTTACCTCCAGTCATCAGAATGACTTCATTAGGCATCAGTATGACTTTATTAGGCATAAGCACGACTTCAAAAGATGTCGCTAGCTTCGTTTTTCATTACATATGGATAGAAAGGAACAGCCTTAATCCTTATTGATAACGGTGATAGATAATTCTAACAATAACCATTTTGTTTAAAATTGTTCAGCTATTGAGTTCCAAACGCCATTATTTGGTTTAAATACCCCCAACGGGGGTATGCGTACCCCTGGTTAAGAACCCTCCTCCTCTACACCCCTGCACCTGGTTACGGACAACCATTCGACGTAACAATTACTGATTCGCGCTGCGTTGTCTGCCAAGAACAGTCGCGCCAATTTGGGTGAAAGTCGCGCAGAAACTGGTATAGTGATGTTGCGCTAAACTAATTCATTTTTTTAGTCATTCGAAGATGTATAAGATTAAAAGTAAATAACAGGGAACATTATTATTATATTTATCATCATTAAAAGCGTTATATTTTATTATTATTATTATTATTATTATTATTATTATTATTATTATTATTATTAAGTAATGTTAATGTTTTCTCACAGACATAATAACACAGGATAAAAACCCCACACTTGTGTATTTGTGAAATTTATGTAAGGAATTTACACCAAGTCTTTCGCACTCTCCTGAGTGCTTTGTCAAGATCTGAGTGTGTGGTTAAGACGAGAGTTACATCTTAACGTCTAATGAGGCTGTTATCCGTTGTTGTTGTTTGTTTGTTTTAGATTCAGCTACTCGGAATAAAAAGTTTCAATAGCACTCCTGTGCCAGGTAATTCAACGACGGGCTCACCATAGCCCGTGCTACTTGGAACTTTTTTGTTCCCAGTAGCTGAATGTAAAATCAGATTTATAATAAAGTACTCACTATTAATTTTGGATTCCTGCATATCTAGTGAGAAGTGAAGTTCATGTACTCGACCCAGAGCCATACATGCAGTCTCCACCACAGAGATGTGGCTGGTCTGTGTGTAATCTACAAAATACATACACTTCACTTAGCATCACTATAAGTCCCTCGAGAATAAGCTACCTCAAAGAATTGTAACAGCGCTTTACTGTCCATAGTTGTGTGTTCTTGTCTAACTCAAGAATAAACTACACAACAATTGAAAAATCTTTTAAATGAATGATGAATAACACAATAGCATTCAATCAAATTATCGAATCCCTGCATTTGCACTTCTTCATTTCCTGCTCCTGTTCCACCCCCTTTCCTGCCCTTATATCTGTTCCATCCACCTCAACTACTTGACTAGATTTTCAGAAATACAACAGTGCAAGAAGAATACAACAGCTCAATGTATCTTCTTGTGGTGCAAGAAGATACCTCAACACTGATCAAATTTTATGATTGTACATCTTTTTTTCCACACAGTTCCCATTCACTATCCTCTCCTCACATCCACTATCCTTTCCTCACATCCTCTATGCTCCATTCACATCCTCTATCCACATTAATTCCTGGACCCGGATTCACAAAGCAGTTACGCAAGTACTTACGACCCTTTGTTTACAATTATTAAACAGTTAATGAGCTCCGAAGCACCAGGAGACTGTTTATAACAATAACAACAGTTGATTGGGAAGTTTTCATGCTTATAAACTGTTTAATAAATGTAAACAAAGCCGTCAAAGATTGAGGAAAGATGTACACGTTCGTAAGTACTTTCGTAACTGTTTCGTGAATCTGGCCCCTGCTCCCTAACACTCACACCTCCACTACAAACCTACTCTATACATACGCTCCTCATCTCCAAACTCCTAGGGGGTTTTCCTCTCTATTCCTTGGTTCTTCCCCCTCCAGCCGGCCGCTCCTCCACTTCTTACTCCACGTGGAGAACCATTTTCCTCCAATTACTCCAGTGATAGACGACTGTCAGCCTGGTTAATGGCAGCACTTTATCTTGGGACAATTTTTAAGGGCCCTGCTAGACAGGATGGTTAGAGCCAGAGAGCGTTTATTGTGGCAACATTGTCACTGCTGTCACTGTCGCTGCTGTCACTGTCGCTGCTGTTACTGTCGCTGCTGTCACTGTCACTGTCGCTGCCAGCACTGTCACTGCCACCATGATGTTCTAATTTCTGCTAGCGTCCTATATGCTGCTGATGTTCCCCGATTTATGTGTGCCTCTTGTGCTATTGTTGGAATTACACCCCACTCCTAAATCTCTCTCTTTCCGACTTCTGTGTTTGCCTTCCCCTTATGGTGTAGGTACCTCCTGGCCTCCTTTATCTCTCATCTTCATTACCTTACACCTATTGAGAGTGAATTCTAACAACCTTTTAAGTTTGTGTGTGTGTGTGTGTGTGTGTGTGTTTATGTCCTGTAACCGCTAGATACCTACATATTTCTTATCAAATATGCAAAACAGCTGCTGAAATATGTTACTGAAATTCAAAAGGTATTTTCAGTCTAATATTATGCTCTGGTTTACCACTATGCGCCTCACTGCTCTAGTTGTAAACTATAGGATTATAGTTTATAATACACTATACACTTGTTGATTCCAGCCACACAATTTGAATAAATCACACGAGAATAAAACTTCTAAATCTAGAAATGTAAATAATGACATTTATTTTATTGACACATTAGGTACATGTTCATTTGTGCAGCTGCCCTAGACTATATGAAGGGGAGTACAGAGTGTGTCAACCACAAGCTACGTGATGGTAAAAATCCCCATTACACACGATGGATATCATCAAGAAGGCAAGCAATTGTGCTGCCTGCACCACAGGCAGCCCCACAGGTAGAACTCCTTGACAGCCCCACTGGCAGCACCACTGGCAGCACCACTGGCAGCCCCACTGGCAGCCCCACTGGCAGTACCACTACTTTAACCCAGGCACTCAAAGTAGCAACCTCCTCTCCTGTACGCCCCCTTCTACAGCAGATAGAAGCAAGAGCAGCGCCTTTGGCAGGACCATAGCGTCACAGCAGCAGTAATTCTGTAGCACTTTACAGCACTCTTGCTGGACCAACTGTAGCGCTCGCAGCAGCGCTCCCTGCAGCAGCAGCAGCAGCAGCAGCACCGCCCCACGGTCTCACCACATCTCGGGAGTTCCATCTGTGAGGCCTCAGCAGCGCTTCAGAGTTTATGAGGTCGGACGAGCAGCGGGAGAATTAAATGGGTGTTGAACAAAAGGAATCTGACGCACACAATCACACTTAATGGCACTTCGGGGGTCAAGGAATAAGTGGGAAGCGGAGAACAAGAACAGAGAAGATAAACTGTGGCTTAATTGTTATTGAAGACGTCTAGGAAACTTAACTGGGCGACGAAGGGCGTCCAATGTCGCAGCGAGGGAGACTAATCCTCTTAAGGGCCTCTTTTATGATGCTGTTTTCAGGCCCAGTTGAAATGCACGGCCCCGCAACACACCCAAGACTCAGTGTGGAGATCTTTTATCCCGACTGTTATTGCGGTCTGGTGGGATATTCTCGTGTGTCATTTTGTGTTTTGGCTTATTTTTAGATTAATGTATAAATGTCTTCCCTCGTGTAATGTGAGATTTAAATGGCTTCATGTAAGCTGTTTATATTGTCGCCATTTTTCTGTCTCTCCTTTGTAATGTGTTAAGTTACTTAAATTAATTTTTTATGGTATTTTTTGGGTATGTATAATATATGATTAATCTTGACGTTCTCTCGTTCGCTCTGTCTCTGTGGTCTGGACTTCCTAAGGGTCTAATACTTTTGCTCTGCCTGTAAAGAAAATCCTCCTTAGACGGCTTGAGTGCCTCGCTCTCCTCCCTCGTTCATTGCTCTAACTTCCTGTATTCGCTGCTTCCACCTCCCTGTACTTCCTCGTTCTTGGTTTCCTTCACTTACCCTGTCCCCCCGCGGCGCTCCCTCTCTTCCCCTCACAAGCCACCATTCCTCCCCCTCTCCTCTCTCTCTCTCTCCCCCCTCTTCCTTACTCTTGACAACTTTCCCTCCACTCTCCCCAAGCCATCCTCTCTTGTGTTTCATCAGCACTCATTATCCAAGCCCCTTTTAATTTCCTCCCTTTCCCTTTCTCGCAAGCCTAGCAAACACCTCTTCCACTTCCTCCTCTCCTTTCTACCATTTTTCCCGCCCTACTCAACCACTACTCCTTCCCTTTCATCAACCTCCACTGCGACCACAACAAGCATCCCGCCCTGTTCCTCGGCTCTTTACACACACTTCTCGTCTCTGCTCCACCACCATCGACGTGCCGTCTCCACCATCACCACCATCTTCCCCCCTCTCCCGGCGTCCTCCACATCACCATCATTCCCACTACCCCTTCCCGCCCTTCCCTGCAACTTTCCCCATCTCTTCATGGATTCCCTCCCATCTCCTTTTCCCCATTTTCCCTACCAGCGCGGCAGCCCGCCAGGGGCCCCCACGAGTCAGTTATCTTCAGGCCTGCCAACCTCACCCCGCCTTGCAGCTATAAACATGAAAAATGCCCATATAAAAGCAGATATCTCCTGACAGGATCGCATTAAACTCAGAAGTAATTTCGGATGGTAATACAATAAAGGGAGGGAAGCCTTGTTCAGATTGGTGAGCTACGGGATCCTCTTCCAGCTATAAACTCCGTAAGATCAAATGCTCCATCCTGTGGAGTCTCGATCATAGAAAACCTTACCGGATTTCCTTAGGGATAACTTCATTATTTTTCCCCCCCGGTTGTGACTGTGCCGGGCCTGAGGGAAGGAAGTATGAATGCAAACTTTGTTCCCGCGGATTTGTTGTTGCTTGATAATGCTCCGCTGGAGAGATCGCTCGGAGTTGGTGGTAGAGGGTGGTTTGGGGCTGGGTGGTGATTGATGGGAGGATGGGTGGTGATTGATAGCAGGGTGGAAGGGGTATGCGTGGTTAGTGATAGGAAAGGTGATGCTTAATGTAATGGTTGGGGGATTATGCCAGTCACAGGTGTTAGGGTGTGTGGGGGGGGGGTGCTTCTAGGTGTTGTCCTCTGTTCATTTCATACTGTTCGAGGGGCCTTCGTGGCATCTCTACAATATATATTATTCCGACGTTTTATCAAGAGCTGCTGCAGCTGCTGGTGTTGGAGCTGCTGCAGCTGCTGGTGTTGGAGCTGCTGCAGCTGCTGGTGTTGGAGCTGTTGCAGCTGCTGGTGTTGGAGCTGCTGCAGCTGCTGGTGTTGGAGCTGCTGCAGTTGCTGGTGTTGGAGCTGCTGCAGCTGCTGGTGTTGGAGCTGCTGCAGCTGCTGGTGTTGGAGCTGTTGCAGCTGCTGGTGTTGGAGCTGTTGCAGCTGCTGGTGTTGGAGCTGTTGCAGCTGCTGGTGTTGGAGCTGCTGCAGCTGCTGGTGTTGGAGCTGCTGCAGTTGCTGGTGTTGGAGCTGCTGCAGCTGCTGGTGTTGGAGCTGCTGGTGTTGGAGCTGTTGCAGCTGCTGGTGTTGGAGCTGCTGCAGCTGCAGTTGTAGCAGCTGCAGTTAGTAGCAGCAAGCTGTAAAGCGGGTGGGGAACGGGGCGTGCAGGAGCTATTCACATTCAGAGTATATTATCAGGAAACTGCACACAAGTTCAGGAAATTGCTGCAGCGCGAGGGACTCGGGGTGTGCGTGTGCGTGTGTGCGTGTGTGCGTGTCTGTGTATACTCAGCTGTTCTCACCTAGGTGTGCTTGCTGAGATGAGCTCTAGCTCTATCTCCTAAACACTAAATAGTGCAAGGAATTTGTCCCCACATTATTCATAAATTTATAAATGCATCGAGTGAGCTTCAGCGTTTCTTCGTCTCATTCTACTTTTCGGTAACTTCAACACTGGAGAAGTGCTTTCTAACTCCTATGTGACTGCTGATGTTAGCTTAGAACAGTGTCTCTTCGCCAACTGTGACAGTTTCCATTACAATCTTATACGTCGCTATCATGTCCCCTCTATTTCCCTTCTTCAGTCAAGTAATGCATATCTTCGTACCTTTTTATAGTTTGGGCCTATGCTTTTCACGGCAGAGTTACATTTTGGAACAGCATACCCAAAAGTGATTCTTACATATACTACATTTACTCTGTATATATCACTGTCTGCTATAATATAATCTAGGCACGTTATAGTCTATTCAGTATTTACCTGCACAATACTAAGAAACCAAGCAAGCCCAATATATTGTATATGTATTTGGTGATTTTCTGGAGTAACTGGTGTCTATCACTTGAGGTCTTACAACCGTTGGTGAGTGGATACACGACTAGGGTTATCTTGAGGTTATCTTGAGATGATTTCGGGGCTTTAGTGTCCCCGCGGCCCGGTCCTCGACCAGGCCTCCACCCCCAGGAAGCAGCCCGTGACAGCTGACTAACACCCAGGTACCTATTTTACTGCTAGGTAACAGGGGCATAGGGTGAAAGAAACTCTGCCCATTGTTTCTCGCCGGCGCCTGGGATCGAACCCGGGACCACAGGATCACAAGTCCGGCGCGCTGTCCGCTCGGCCGACCGGCTCCCTAAAGGGTCCCAGAGTACTCAGCATTTACGCATTTACTCATGGAAAGCTGAACATCTCTCAAGCTTGGACGGCTTTTGTTTGTATTTATTAAACACTTCATGAGCTCCGAAGCACCAGGAAGCCGTTTATAGTAATAATAATATTTGATTGGAAATTTTCCATTCTCGTAAACTGTTTAATAAAAGGTAAACAATGCAGCCAAATGCTGAGAAAAGATGGACTGGTTCTTATGTAGTTGTGGAAATACTTGTTAAGTCCTGGCCCGGGCTTGCCAGCTTTTTAATCCTCGAGTCTGACAGTGAACATCAGAAAGGAAAACTGACTCTAATATCTCTAAAAGATAGTTAATTCTAGTGGTGTCGATACCTGTAATCTTGACTTTAAAACTAAGCATAAAATGATGATTTGCATCGATTTGGGGGTGTCTTATGCCTTATATCTGGTTACTTGACACAACAGCCTAGCAGATCCTGCAAAGCAGCTACGACACACGCTACGGGGTTGATTTGGGTGAATAATTAGGTTACAAAAGGTTGATTTATGTGAATGTTAGATCAATTTTAACGCGCAAGAAAATTTCTCATTCATTTTAGACCACATGACAAAAGATACCTGGAGCTTTGTACCTATTTAATTCGCTTACATATATTAGAAGATATCTTAACAGATTCATCCGAAGGTTGCTAGTGCATGCTAACAGATGATTAAGCTTTCATACCATGCAACACAGACCATCCTGCGAGATGGTAACATTGGGGGAACTTAAGATTCAGAAATCTCTCCTTTGACTGGGATGGTAGCACTGTACTGTGCTACCAAAATATCCAAATAATACAATACGCCAAATAATATAATACGCCAAATCGTATTGGCGTATGCCTTTCCATTGGAGACTTTCAGCGCCGTGGAGAGGGGGTACCTGCTGCCTGGGTAACAGCTTCTCCCCCGAATCAACCTACCCTGGCTTTGCGCCCTGGTGAGGCCACTCCAGACCGACAACCAGAGCGCAACTCCATAGTCTCCTGAGACTGATGGATGCCTACTACTGTGTACCTAATCTTGTTAATAAAATAAGAGTTTCCCAAATGGATACACTCAACCACTCAAAACCAACTACTACACACAACCAATCACCACACACACACGGGGGGGGGGGTGGACTGGTAGCTGAGTGGACAGCGCGCAGGTCTCTTAATTCTGTGGCCCTGATTCGATTCCCGGACCAGGCAGAAATAAAAGGGAAAATCTCTTTCACCCTGAATGCCCCTGTTATCTAGCAGTAAATAGGTACCTGGGAGTTAGACAGCTGTTACGGAGCTGCTTCCTGGGGATGTGTCTGTGGGGGGGGGGGAATTAGTAACAGTTGATTGACAGTTGAGAGGCGGGCCGAAAGAGCAGAGCTCAACCCCCGCAAGCATAACTAGGTGAATACAACTAGGTGAATACACACATACAACTAACCACCACACACACACACACACACACACACGCTCACACACACACACACACACCTGTGTAACATACCGACAACATGGGTTCTGGGATTGGCAAATCGTGTCTCAAAGGTAAATAGAATTTTATGACCGGGCAACAAACATTAAGCAAGGAAGAGTGGGAAGACTGCAATCTCTTGAACTGCCAGAAAGCTCTTGATACAGAACTCCATAAGAGGCTGTTGCATAAGCTCAAGAAACCGGCTGGAATAACAGGGCAGGTGCTCCATTGGACAAGGGTATACCTAAGCTACAGAAAACAGAGATACAGTGAAGGGTAAGACCTCAGAATGGCAAGATGTCACAAGCGGAGTACCATAGAGTTCTGTACTGGGACCTGTCCTGTTTCTGATAAATGTAAAGGATCTTAAAGACGGTATAGACTCATTTCTTACTATGTCTGCTGACGATGACAAGGATTAAAAAGACGAGGACAGTAAGAGACATCAAGATAACCTGGACAGACTGAACCAATGATCCAGCAAATGACTATTAATGTTTAACTCAAGCAAGTATAAGGGAATGAAAATAGGTGTAGGGAGCAGGAAGCCGAACACAAAGTACCAATTGGAAGAAGAAATCCTTCAGGAATCAGGAAGAAAAATCTGGGGGGGTGATATGACGCCAAACCCATCTCGTGAAGCCAACATCAGAAGGATATCATCAACGGCATATGCAAGGCTGGCAAACATAAGAACTGCCTTCAGAAACTTAAGTAAGGAATCATTCAGAACTTTGTATACCACTTATGTCAGACCAATCCTGGAATATGCGGCTCCAGCATGGAGTACGTATCAACCCAAACATAAGTTGAAGTTAGAAAATGTTCAGATTTAAACACTTGTCCCCAAGCCTCCAGACCAGTCCCCGAGTTGAGAGGTATGAACTACGAGGAACGACTACCGGTATTAAACCTCACGACGACATTAGAAGCCAGAACGGTTAGGGTAAATATGATTACCACCTACAAAATTCTCAGTCGAATGGATAGGGTAGATAAAGACCAACTATTTAGCAAGGAAAGTACACGAACAAGGAGATACAGGGAGAAACTTAGCTCCCAAGTGAACCGAAGAGACATTACACAGAATTATTTGAGTGTCAGAGCAGTTAACAATTGTAAAGCATTAGGCAGTGATGTGGCGGAGGCAGACTCCATACACAGTTTCAAATACAGATATGACAAACCCCAATAGGCTAAGTAACCTGTACATCAGTTGATTAATAGTTGAGAGGTTGGACCAGAGCGCCGAGGCGCAACCTCCGCAAGTACTAGGCGAGTACTCCCTACAGCCTGGCCCGAGGCCGCAGAAGACACCCGCAGGCGAGGAAGCACTACAGCATGCGAGGAAGCACCTACAGCAGGCGAGGAAGCACTACAGCAGGCGAGGAAGCACCTACAGCAGGCGAGGAAGCACTACAGCAGGCGAGGAAGCACTACAGCAGGCGAGGAAGCACTACAGCAGGCGAGGAAGCACTACAGCAGGCGAGGAAGCACCTACAGCAGGCGAGGAAGCACTACAGCAGGCGAGGAAGCACTACAGCAGGCGAGGAAGCACTACAGCAGGCGAGGAAGCACCTACAGCAGGCGAGGAAGCACCTACAGCAGGCGAGGAAGCACCTACAGCAGGCGAGGAAGCACCTACAGCAGGCGAGGAAGCACCTACAACAGGCGAGGAAGCACCTACAGCAGGCGAGGAAGCACTACAGTAAACAGCAGCAGTATGCGAGTAACGGCGACGCTGGTAATGGTGTGGGCATATTCCGTGTCGCCCTGGCTGCCTCCTCCTTTATTCTACTTGTATGCAAGTGCGCCTTCATTCTTATAAAGAAATATACTGTATATATATCATTATATATAAATCATGATAAATCCACTTGCTGATTTATACAGGGATTTATTCGTGTGAATGTACACGCACCGGTCACGCTAGAAGTGTACACGAACTTTCTCTCAGTAGCCAGAGTATCTTGTGGGGACTTGTACTTAGCGAGTTACTATACTGTAGACTAAGATTCAAGGAGTACAATGGAGACTTAGGTTTAGCATGTAAAACTGTAGTGTCAGAGCCAGAGTGTACAACTGTAGACTCATGCATTCCCCTAGATCACACCAGCACAAGACCCCTATGAGTGTATTGAGTGTAATCACCATTGAATGTGTGTGTGCACGCGTATGTGCGTGTGCACGCGTATGTGTGTGTGCACGCGTATGTGTGTGTAGTGAGGAGGTTGTCGTGAAGGGGAAAGGGGGGGTAAAGTTAGGGGTGAGGAGTCCCCAAGAAGCACTAAGATATCTCCTATATTAAAACGTATGTTGGTAGTCCGGGATAAAGACTATGTCCTCGACAATATAAGTAATAAAATGTGGACATTGGACCCCGCTAATTCAGCCATATGCATTCTCCACACACGGATATGAGATGGCGACCGCGCTCATATTTTGCCTCTTTATGAGATCAAACGGCAAGTAGGGCCTTCTTCTGCTCGTCCCCGGAGAGCCATGGACAAGGTTTCGAGGGGAAAGTGTTATCTCCCCTCGGTCTGAGGGGTAGCAAGGGTCAGAATACCGCCTCGGGGTGGCTTGGGGTTACTTCCACTACACGCGACAATTTTCTTTAGCCACTAAGACGGGTGTGAAAGCCCGCCAGATTGCCCGGTGCTAAATGTCGTGAAAATGAGCGCGCCAGAATTTTAGTGGCGTCCCGGGAGCCCATATTTCCCGCCGGCTTAGCCACCAACGCCACTTTCCTGGGGCCGCCAGGGAACCAGGCCACGATGTGTGGTGAGAATGTGCTCCTGCTGCTGGTGATGGTGGTGGCGGTAGGGGGGAGGGTAATGGTGTCACAGGAGTGGGGTGAGGAGAGTGGGTTGGCTGTGGTAATGGTGACGGGGGCGAATGGTGAGGTGGTCCCCCAGCACCGAGGTGGTGACAGAGACTGAGAGGTGGGGGGAGGCAACTTTGGTGTTGGCAGAGGTCGTATATCGCACATGTTGGCCGTGGATGACGGAGCGTCTGCCACTGAGCGTGGAGTGCTGTGAGGGGGTGAAGGAGCCACTTGTGTAATTGTGACAGTAATGGCTAGTTTAGTGTTCCTCTCGCTGTCTGTGATGAAGACACTAATGGTGAAAGTAGAAGAACGCTAATGCTTTACGGCACGAGGGGAGAGAAGACGCAAGTAGCGATGCTTCTTACAAATGGTGATGATTGTGCAGAGGCATGATGTATGTGGTGAAGATGATGGTGCAGAGGCAGGATGTATGTGGTGAAGATGATGGTGCAGAGGCATGATGTATGTGGTGAAGATGATGGTGCAGAGGCAGGATGTATGTGGTGAAGATGATGGTGCAGAGGCATGATGTATGTGGTGAAGATGATGGTGCAGAGGCATGATGTATGTGGTGAAGATGATGGTGCAGAGGCAGGATGTATGTGGTGAAGATGATGGTACAGAGGCAGGATGTATGTGGTGAAGATGATGGTACAGAGGCATGATGTATGTGGTGAAGATGATGGTGCAGAGGCATGATGTATGTGGTGAAGATGATGGTGCAGAGGCATGATGTATGTGGTGAAGATGATGGTGCAGAGGCATGATGTATGTGGTGAAGATGATGGTGCAGAGGCATGATGAATGTGGTGAAGATGATGGTGCAGAGGCATGATGTATGTGGTGAAGATGATGGTGCAGAGGCAGGATACATGTGGTGAAGATGATGGTGCAGAGGCATGATGTATGTGGTGAAGATGATGGTGCAGAGGCATGATGTATGTGGTGAACATGATGGTGCAGAGGCAGGATGCATGTGGTGAAGATGATGGTGCAGAGGCATGATGTATGTGGTGAAGATGGTGGTGCAGAGGCATGATATATGTGGTGAAGATGATGGTGCAGAGGCATGATATATGTGGTGAAGATGATGGCTGATGTGGTTATCTTGAGATGATTTCGGGGCTTTTTAGTGTCCCCGCGGCCCGGTCCTCGACCAGGCCTCCACCCCCAGGAAGCAGCCCGTGACAGCTGACTAACACCCAGGTACCTATTTTACTGCTAGGTAACAGGGGCATAGGGTGAAAGAAACTCTGCCCATTGTTTCTCGCCGGCGCCTGGGATCGAACCCAGGACCACAGGATCACAAGTCCAGCGTGCTGTCCGCTCGGCCGACCGGCTCCCTTGAGTTGTCCTTCCCTCTTAAATTTGTGGATGGAGGTGGCTCCCACAACTTCTTCTTTCCTTCTTTCAGGGCGTTCCACTTGTTAACCACTTATACAGGGGATGGGTATTTCCATTTATTTTCTTAGATTAGTTTCTAGTTCTGTTTTGTCACTGGGAAGTGTCAGTCCTCCTCATTCTCTCACCAGCAACAAACCCCTCACTCTCCGTCACCAACAACAAACCCCTCACTCTCCCACACCAACAACAAACCCCTCACTCTCCCTCACTAACAACAAACCCCCCCTCACTCTCCCTCACCAACAACAAACCCCCCCTCACTCTCCCTCACCAACAACAAACCCCCCCTCACTCTCCCTCACCAACAACAAACCCCCCCTCACTCTCCCTCACCAACAACAAACCCCCCCTCACTCTCCCTCACCAACAACAAACCCCTCACTCTCCCACACCAACAACAAACCCCTCACTCTCCCTCACCAACAACAAACCCCTCACTCTCCCTCACCAACAACAAACCCCTCACTCTCCCTCACCAACAACAAACCCCCCCTCACTCTCCCTCACCAACAACAAACCCACTAAGAGAGTGAACAAAGACAAGTGTCATCACTTGCACGATGACAAAGAAACTGGCTGGAGGCAGGCTGCTCCCCGACACTTCCTGTGACCGGCAGCGTGCCGGCGCTATACAGCAGCAGTCTGTGTAATGTTTGTAAGCCCAGGGGCGCTGTGAGGCAGGCGAGCGGCCCCAACGACCCGAGACGAGCCACCACGACCCGACACGACCCCACCAGGAGCCATCGTCGAGCAGGAGTGAGCCGCCCCGACGACTTCACAATCAGGGACACGCCATGCAATGAAATCTTATGGGGTGGGCGAGGCAGTAGAGGAAGCGGGCGGCTGTCCGCGCGGCCTAACCCACCCGAGGCAGTCGGCGGGAATTTACCTATTTGCCCTTTATTCCAGCCTGGGTTGCCTCTGCCAGGGACACGTATCGCTAACTTTTACCATTCCCGACGCCGTACTGAAGCCAGGATGGGATGGTTCTGGGAGAAGGAAAGTCGGGGAGGGGGTTTGTGAACGCTCGCCAGGACAACTTAGGGGAAATTTCAGAAGGGAGTTGATTAGACTTTCATTGGAATCTATAAAAGAGTTTGTGTAGGAGGCGCGATGGGATGGCCTTTAGGGTGATGAAGTCCACATAGACAAGGGGGAGCTGGCTGTTACACTCTTGCTGCCTCCTGTTTCCTCTCCCATGACTAGCAGGGAAGAGAAATGAGATGGTGTTTGGTGAAGACTGTTAGCTGGGGAGGAGAGGGCTGCTGCTGCTGCTTGGGGAGGAGAGGGCTGCTGCTTGGGGGAGGAGAGGGCTGCTGCTTGGGGGGGAGGAGAGGGCTGCTGCTTGGGGGAGGAGAGGGCTGCTGCTTGGGGGAGGAGAGGGCTGCTGCTTGGGGGAGGAGAGGGCTGCTGCTTGGGGGAGGAGAGGGCTGCTGCTTGGGGGAGGAGAGGGCTGCTGCTTGGGGGAGGAGAGGGCTGCTGCTTGGGGAGTAGAGAGAGCTGCTGGTAAAGGAAGGGGTTTTTAATAGGGCTTTTGCCTGTTAATGGAGGGATGTTGGATATGGATGCTCGTTAAGGGGGAAGTGTTAAAGTAGAGCGCTGCTCTCTGAGGGACAGGTGTTTAGAAGTAGAAGAGGATTGTTGCTAATAAAATGGCCGTTTGATTTGTTAGAGAAAGTTCTCTATTGTGTTAACTATGTTCTGGCTTTTGGAGAGAATACTTTATTTGGTTAATGACATTGATATTTACCGAAAAAGTATTTTACTGGATCAGTAATGTTAAGGTTCTTAAGAATAGTTCTTTATTGAGTTTGTTATAATCAAACTTGTGGAAAAGCACCATTATTGGATCAGAAATATTAATACTTTTGTGGGAAGAGGAATGTTTTGAGGCTGTTTGAGCTTTAAGAAGATGAGCGAGTTATGGTTCATTTTTGTTGTAAGGAAAAATCGCAGCAACTTGCGTAAAATTATGAGTTTTCTTTATTATTCTAAAAATTTCCATAGGTAATCATACGAGGTGTTGCTGCTGCTGGACCTAAAAGGTCTATACTTATATGACAACAGAAGTCTCCAAACCATAATTCACAACCCAACGGGTTTTCTTCCTTTTGGGGAGTGTTGTACCTGCTGCTACGGCGGTATGTCCACTCACAAGATGAGTGGCGCTGCCCAATAAACTCGCGCCTCGGGGCAAAATTAAAAAAAAATTATCAAAGCTTGACCCTGCACTCACATTTGCTGTTCTGACAAACGCCGCTCCCAGCACTCAAACGCCCCCCCCCCCCCACACACACACACACTCCAATCTCTAGCAATAAGACTAAAACGAATATAACTTGACGGGGACAAGCTGGAGGAAATGCTTGTCCCTGTCAAATGCTTGTCCCTAATGGAGGAATTATAATACAAAATGACCGTCTTCAGGAAGAAAAAAAAATGCCATCTGTGTACGAGGAATCGGAATCGAGGAGGTCGGTGGTGCTCCGTCTTGAGTACCACTCGACTTCCCTTAAAAATAATAATAACACGCCCGAAAATGCCGAAATAAGGAAATTGGAACGTACCTCAAAGCTGGTGGATTTCTGTCCCTCGAAGATCTCAATTCTCTTACCTGAAATGGAATTAAAACGATTTAAAGAAATGTCTTTATGAATTGAAATTCTCACACATCATATACATGTTATAATCACAACATGAACGATCACAGATATATTGAGATAGATTGATAAATAATTTAGATGTAACAGTTAAGGTAGAGGTGACGGTTGTGAATTGAGGAGTTGCGTACCTTACACGACGAGGGTCCTGGTGTTGCGTAGTGTAGTGCAATGTGGTCACACGTCTGGTCTAGGTGCGGTTACACCGGTCCGGGTGCGGTTACACCGGTCCAAGTGCGGTTACACCGGTCAAGTGCGGTTACACCAGTCCGGGTGCGGTCACACTGGTCCAAATGTGGTTACACCGGTCCAGGTGCGGTTACACCGGTCCGGGTGCGGTCACACCGGTCCAGGTGCTTGACACAACACTCCCAGGTAAGACATGAGTCACTAACACTATACATGCGGTGATCAAACCACATATTTACATTATTTATATATAGATATCCGTTACACTGGTCACAGCACAATCACCACACACCAATTCTACTGTCTTAACGAGTCGACCCGCGAAAGTAGAGTGCTCAGCGACCTGTCAACAAGCCTCACTCGTTAATTTAGGTGGCAGCCGTTCCACAATACGCGTTAATTAGTTTTTAACATATTACGTGTTAAAACTAGGTTTGCTCTCAAATATAAATTAATATTAGTTTATATTAAAGTTCATTGTATAGTAAGGGGATGGTTAGGTTAGGTTAAGTTAGGCTTTTAAGTTCTGTTGGCGATTATTTGTATTTGAAGTACGTGGGTGAAGCATTTATTGAATTGTAGTTCGAACAGAGGAGGTGAGCGAAGCACTTGTTTCGGAAGTGCTCGGACGACATCAGTTGTGAGTCGTGTGTAAACAGCTTTTCATTCATAAATAGTAGGTTTGGCGGATGGATTAACGAGCTTGGATCTTTGTATGCGAAGGGCGGGCTGCATTTACAGTTGTGTGGTTCGAACAGATGTCAGCAAAGCACTGTTCGAGACATGTTCGATCGTCATCAGTTGTGTGTGAGACGTGTGTAAGCCGTTTATCAGTCATATAAAGGGAACTTCCAACATATTCCACTTTGTTAGAAGAGGCTGAAAGCTATGTCCATAGCGGGTTTTACAGGACTACCTTGAGGTTACCTTGAGGTGTTTCCGGGGCTTAGCGTCCCCGCGGCCCGGTCGTCGACCAAGCCTCCTTGGTTCGAGGTCTGGTCGACTAACTGATCGACTGTTCGACCAGTCGACTGGTCGATTATAACTATGTAATAATCACATCCCATTTATTACATTATTGTTCCATTACATCGTAAATCTTGGGTACAGGTCTATTATATCATCAAGACAGAGCGAGTAAAGGGAAGGGAAGGGAAGGGAAAGGGAGGGGAGGAATGAGACAAAGCAAGGGGAAGACAGACCGAGGGAGGGAGGGGAAGGGGTGAGAGAGGGGAGCAAGTAAAATAAACTAAAACAATACCTCCTTCCTTTATTTAAAAGCCTGTCGCAAGTAAAAAAAAATTATATAAATAAAAATGTACAATAGAGATTAATTTTTATAATACTATATAGAAATTCCCGTGTTAAGAAAATATGAAGTTTTTCATTATACATATTTTTCCACATATTTTAACACGTGTCTTGAATATCTCGTGTTGGGATTTTTCAGAGTCAGTCAGACGTTCTTCAGCCTACGACGCATTTTGACCTTTAGTTTATTCAAAAAACTAAATAAGTGTATTACTGTATTTTGAGAGAGCTTATAAGGAGTACGGTAACAAACAATTATTTTGTTCATACTTGACTATTTTTTACTGTTAATTAAATCTGTATCGTTGGTCTCGAGTTTACTGATAAACATTGGATTGTCACGTTACTTTGATGACCTGTCACGTTACTTTGATGATCTGTCACGTTACTTTGATGACCTGTCACGTTACTTTGATGACCTGTCACGTTACTTTGATGATCTGTCACGTTACTTTGATGACCTGTCACGTTACTTTGATGACCTGTCACGTTACTTTGATGACTTGTCACGTTACTTTGACGATCTGTCACGTTACTTTGATGACCTGTCACGTTACTTTGATGAGTTGTCACGTTACTTTGACGATCTGTCACGTTACTTTGATGACCTGTCACGTTACTTTGATGACCTGTCACGTTACTTTGATGACCTGTCACGTTACTTTGACGACCTGTCACGTTACTTTGATGACCTGTTACGTTACTTTGATGACCTGTCACGTTACTTTGATGACCTGTCACGTTACTTTGATGACCTGTCACGTTACTTTGATGACCTGTCACGTTACTTTGACGACCTGTCACGTTACTTTGACGACCTGTCACGTTACTTTGACGACCTGTCACGTTACGTTGATGACCTGTCACGTTACTTTGATGACCTGTCACGTTACTTTGATGACCTGTCACGTTACTTTGATGACCTGTCACGTTACTTTGACGACCTGTCACGTTACTTTGATGACCTGTCACGTTACTTTGATGACCTGTCACGTTACGTTGATGACCTGTCACGTTACTTTGATGACCTGTCACGTTACTTTGATGACCTGTCACGTTACTTTGATGACCTGTCACGTTACTTTGATGACCTGTCACGTTACGTTGATGACTTGTCACGGCCTTTGACGACCTGTCACGTCACTTTGACAACCTGTCACGTCTTTTGACGATCTGTCACGGCCTTTGACAACCTGTCACGTCCTTTGACGACCTGTCACGTCACTTTGACGACCTGTCACGTCCTTTGACGACCTGTCACGTCATTCTGACGATCTGTCACGTCTTTTGACGATCTGTCACGGCCTTTGACAACCTGTCACGTCCTTTGACGACCTGTCACGTCCTTTGACCTGTCACGTCTTTTGACGACCTGTCACGTCACTTTGACGACCTGTCACGTCCTTTGACGACCTGTCACGCCACTTTGACGACCTGTCACGACCTTTGACGACCTGTTACGGCCTTCGACGACCTGTCACGTCCTTTGACGACCAGTCACGTCCTGTGACGACCTGTCACGTCACTTTGAAGGCCCTCGTGGAATTTTCACGCGTCAGTTGACAAGGGACACGTCAAGATCCCGTCTCTCTCGTTACAACACGAAGCACCAATTTGCATTATTTGTTTGACAATCAGGTTCGTTGTTTTCCTAATATATATACCATGTCATGACGCAAGTCTTACTTCCACACAGTTTAAAAATGTTGTATTCGACCTTTTAAAGTAAAAGTGAAAACAGTTCAAAAGAGAATCGGAATTAGATCAACAAGCAAAGGATGGGGAGCAGGAGCTGGAGCTCAGTGCTATAGAAACTCAAGTAGGTGAGTATAACTACGTGAGTGCACACACACAATCTGGGTGCCCCGCGGCTGTGGGAACAGCTATCTGGGATCGTAGTCCTAAAGGCCCGGGTTCGATCCCCGACAGAGGCTGAAACAAATGGGCAGAGTTTCTTTCAGCCTGGTGCTTCTGTTCAATTAGTAGTAAATAGATACCTAGGAGTTAGACAGCTGCTACGGGGCTGTGTGTGTGTGTGTGTGTGTATGTGTGTGTGTGTGTGTGTGTGTGTGTGTGTGTGTGTGTGTGTGTGTGTGTGTGTGTGTGTGTGTGTGTGTGTGTGTGTGTGTGTGTGTGTGTGTGTGTGTGTGTGTGTGTGTGTGTGTGTGTGTGTGTGTGTGTGTGTGTGTGTGTGTGTGTGTGTGTGTGTGTGTGTGTGTGTGTGTTTGCGCGCGTGTGATAAGAAAAATATATGTAGTAAAATAACAGCGGAAAAAATAATTGGTTAGAAAGGCGGGGTCCAAGAGCTAATAGCTCAATTCTGCGGATACAAATAGTAAATATACACATACACACACACACACAATCCATTACCAGACACTATATACAAACCAAAAATTACGACCTCTACATGCCCCTATATGTCATCCACGGGATATAAAGACATTCAACAATAAGACACGACTCGTAGATGACTTGTAGACGACGCGGCAAGACAGGCATTAGTGCTTCTTCATATTCTTAACACATACGCCTTTCCTCTCCTCCAGATCAATCAAACAGCATGTCAGGTCCATATCCCGTGTTCGGACTCCCGGCTGCGACTTCGCATTCTGCACTGCCTGACACTGATCGCTCTCATGATGTATTGACGATTGATTTCCATCGGACAAGACAGGGCTCTGATGGATTTGTATCTCCGCTGCATTTGATCTGCAGCGTATAAATATTTACTGGTAATGACGTCAGTCGCCGACATCACTGATGCTTGCCTTCGGACGGCACGTCAGCGGGAATGTCAACAAAGAGACGGATGCAGGGATATTTTTAATTTAAGCATGAAATGAACCTTCACCTGAATTTTCTCGATTGAAAAACAGGAGGTGGAAGGAGCGTGGATGTAAGAGGCCTCGGGGGACCTCTTCTATCCCCCCTTTCCCCCCTTTTTTTCCCCCCCAGTATCGTGAAGCAGGTTCGAGCCCCCAAGCCCAGATGATTTATTGCATCACCCGGAAATACGCGATGATCAATTGGCCTTCCGCGGAGCCAAATTTATTTTTAAAGAAAATTCCTTTTTTAAAGGGAGTTTGCGGTGCGGGGTGGAAGGTGGTCTGCCATGGAGTGCGAGTCCACATTTTGGAGTAATAAATCGGCAATGTTCTGAATTGCATTGTAGCTTCATCTTGACACCACTGCACGCAGCCGACGCCAAGTGGTTAACGATGCACAGCTCGAACAGTTGCCAATACACTGTGGATTCTAGATGTAAACAAAGGGTTGTGACCCAAGTGGAGAATGTGACCCCATATCAAAATAACTTACACAAGGTCTGTGACCTCGTGAAGGTGCTAGCTAGGGATGTTCGCTACCTAGAAGCTGTACCTTACCTGAACACCGCGCCAGATATCTCTTGTTGACCTCCAACACAACCAACTGTTGGAGGACTTCAAAAATTATTGAGTTAAAAAAAGATTAGCAACTGAAGCTATGATCACAGAGTTGATTGAGACAGATCAACAACTGTTGATCTGTGGCAGTGATCACAATATGTTCACAGCCAGGGCAAACAAGACCAGTATTGTGAGCACAAGATAATGACACTATGGTGCTGAACTGTGAGTAATTATAACAAATCCATTACTTTGTAATGACGCAGTCCTACGCAGTGCTTGCGTACGCAAAGCCTGCATGAGTGTGCTTGCCACACAACGTGCTTTGTTAAGCTCCAGCTCTCCAGCAACGTGCTTTTGCACTAAGCATCTTAGTGGCTTTGCGAGAGTGTAAACATTTGCACTTAAAAAAAAAAAAAGTTCTTTGGCACCTTCCTGTAAATATTAAAATTGTGTTGGTATATTTCTAGTATTAATTTGTTATGTTTATCTTGCATGTATGTTCATGTATACTCAGCCTATATGTTACCTAGCCTACATCTACACAAAGCTAGTTATATAGTTCGACAGAGCCTATAACATTCTGTGGCAGCTCTAACATAACGTAGCAGTGCTCAATAACATGTTGTGACAGATTCTGAACGTAGGGTAGTAGAGCTACCACCACCACCACAACCACCACAACCACCACTACCACGAGGGGTGCCTCTCCCCTTGTTAACAGCTGGTGGTCGACGCGCCAGGAGAGAAAGCCGCCGTGAATTAACCAACAGTGACCTTTCTCTACCGCTCGGTGATCTTGGCTGGCAGATTGGCAGCGGGCCCGGCTGATTACTGGGCCGATGGACATTTGGACAGGGGAGACGGACACTTGGACAGGTCGGACGGACATTCGGACAGCTGTATAGACAGACCCATGGACGACGGATTGACGCCACCAAATAACATCCGTCAGCGACATCACTCGCTCAGACCGCTTGTGTGTGGTGTGGGGAATGGCTTTGTATGGGAGAGGAGGTGTGTGGTGGTGTATGGGACCCTCATACTCGTCCCAAGTCCCACACACACTCGCCCCAAGTCCCACACACACACACACTCGTTCCAAGTCCCACACACACACACACACTCGCCCCAAGTCCCACACACACACACATTCCCCAAGTCCCACACACACACACTCGTTCCAAGTCCCACACACACACACTCGCCCCAAGTCCCACACACACACACATTCCCCAAGTCCCACACACACACACTCGTTCCAAGTCCCACACACACACACACACACTCGCCCCAAGTCCCACACACACACACACACACTCGCCAAAAAGACTCACATTCCATCTCTTACATAGAAACATTTACAATGTTAGACATGACCTTTAAACTTGCCGAAACTGTGATTACCTCACAAATTGGTACATGTGGTTTAAATACTGGTCAGGACTACGAAATGAATATAATAAAATATTAAACCTTACCTGGGAATGTTTAATTTGTTAAAATTATCTTCGGCGATGATATCTTAATTTATTATTGGAAATTCGTAATATTAAATATATATGCTTTTAAGGATGTGATATATTTTGAGATATCCTGTCAGACAAAAGCGTGCAGTCTCCTACATAACCACACTTCTACAAGATTATGTTCAGGATGTTGTCGAAGTAATGCACATAAGTATATCTGATTCCTTTCATCTATTATTATTTATTTATTTATTTATATACAAGAAGGTACATTGGGTTTGTGAGAATACATAGCATAGTATTTACAATCTTGTAAAGCCACTAGTACGCGCAGCGTTTCGGGCAGGTCCTTAATCTAACAGATAATTTTAAGTAGGTAAATTCTAGCAGAATTAATCAAATGATAACAAATACATTGCAAGAAAAAAAATGAGAAGAGAGAGATTAGTAAGTATATTAAAGCACATTGGTATATTAAAGCTCTGATTGATTACATTGACAGCTTGATTGGTAATTTAAACAAGATTAATAGACACCATTAATAGATACCATGATGCTTTAATTCTTTATTAATGCTTGATCTGATGCTTTAATTCACCTAGCACATAATAGATACCAGGGGGGAGTTGGGCAACTGCTGTGAATCGAATCCTGGGTGAGGTTTTTATTATTATTACTATTATTATTAATATTATTATTATTAGTGGGATATCGGTAAGGCCAAAAGGCTTCCTCTCCCTGTCAATAGGACACCATAGGAACACAGAGAATTAAAGCGTTCTGTGCACCTTGTAAATCAGCTCACTCTACGAGATGCTTCACGACTGTGAGCGGTACAAGGGAGTTCTGGCAGCGAGATCACAGGGGCTGCGTCCCATACAGTTCCAAGGCATCAATGGTGAGTAATCAATAGGTAAGCTACTCATAGGTATTCCCTCCGGCTCCTGGGTCGGTGGTAGGAAGAAGGCCACAGGAATAAAGGTCACATTTAACACTATTTGTTAACTGTATTTGCGTCTAAAAATAACTGCCTGTTAATTGGATTTGCGTATAACTGTCTAAGGGTTAGTTATTGCGGTCTGCCTTAGGGATGAAATCCAGGTAAGATGTTCTTTGCTGATGGATTCAACAATAAAAAATATATATCATTAATAATACTCGGTAGATGTGGAAGCTTTTGACAAGTCGGTAGCTTCCTGTCCCCCCTCGAGGCCACTAGGGAGATAGTGGCCCTCTGGTAAATTCAGGCAAATGGCAAAGAAAATTTATCAGAGTGTACCATCTTATTTTCTAAGTTCGCTTTCTGTGATTGTATGCATAGGATGGACTATGGTAAATTATTTGGGGACCTCTTTTTGTACTACAGTTGGTGATTAAATAGAATTTTTTCTTTTCTCATTGTAAGAAATTATGAAAATTATGAAATTACAGAAATTATGTAAGATATAATACATTACGTCAGTGCTCACACTACAAAATTTAAACAACAATCCAATTCCTTCAAAGAAACACCACAGATTTTTAAAAGATATCCCCCCCCCACCACTTTGCCACTTAAAGATAATGAAAGTTTAAGGGTTGTTAAATGTTAATCATCTTGTTTGATAAACTGTTCCACTGGAGACAGTTAAGCCCCTGTCCATAGGAACATATACTGTTTCTATGACGATATGTCCACCCACAGTATGAGTGACGCTGCCCAATACTGCACCTTTGGCTATACATTCACCCACAGCATGAGTGACGCTGCCCAATACTGCACCTTTGGCTATACATTCACCCACAGCATGAGTGACGCTGCCCAATACTGCACCTTTGGCTATACATTCACCCACAGCATGAGTGACGCTGCCCAATACTGCACCTTTGGCTATACATTCACCCACAGCATGAGTGACGCTGCCCAATACTGCACCTTTGGCTATGCATTCACCCACAGCATGAGTGACGCTGCCCAATACTGCACCTTTGGCTATGCATTCACCCACAGCATGAGTGACGCTGCCCAATACTACTCCTTTGGCCATATGTTCACCCACAGGATGAGTTATACTGCTCAGTAAATCGCACTTCGGGGCAAAATTAACAGAAATACCGAAAGAGATTTACCCATATATGAGGAAAACATTTCGCCAGTAAGGACTTAAACAAATCTAAAAAGATACACAGATTCTTGATAACGAACTGTGTATTTCTATTAAGATTCGTAGAGCTACAAAAGGCAAAAAGTCATCACCGAAAAGTCTACTAACACCTTATTGGTTCTCTTTAATGGTGTCAACAGTCAACTCACAAGATGAGTGGCGCTGCCCAATAAACTTGCCCCCTCGGGGCAAAATTTAAATTTAACCTTTTACTTTCTTTAACAAATTCTTTAATATTTCGAATGACGATGGAAGAGGGATCACCTCCATGGGGTAGAATATGGACTAGTTAATAGAATGTCAACCTCAAGGAATGAATGATATATCCTGTTCCATATTTAAAGACGTTCGTTCATGGCGTGTATTTGCTACTAAAAGTCCTCATTACAAAATCTCTAGTTCAAGAAAATTGCCTCGAGTTCAAGGAAAAGTGGCTCAAAATCAAAGAAAAGTGCCTTAAGGGCAAAGAAAATGCCTCAAAATCAAAGAAAAGTGCCTTAAGGGCAAAGAAAATGCCTCAAAATCAAAGAAAAGTGCCTCAAAACCAGTAATAATTAGGAAGCGAATCTATTCAGCAAGTAAGTAGTTGACAAATCCACAAGGGCCGTGACGAGGATTTGAACCTGCATCCGAGAGCATCCCAGACGCTGCCTTAATCAACTGAGCTACGACATGGTTAAAAAAAGTTGAAACCGAAGTTCTACTAAAGTTACTGGATCCTGCAGCCTCTCCGAGGCACAAACCAGGGTTTTACACAACTCCGTAAAGCTCAGTTGATTAAGGCAGCGTCTGGGATGCTCTCGGATGCAGGTTCGAATCCTCGTCACGGCCCTTGTGGATTTGTTCATTTGGTACATCATGCAATTGTGATTTCTGTGTGTAAGCAGTTGACGTTTTGACGTATTGCGTTCTGTAGAAGATGAACAAAGATTGATTTGATTTAATATTAGCTTATATATGAGAACAAACCTATTTTTATTACACAGTACGTTAAAATTGATGAATGCGTTTTCGGGGACGGCGGCCTCTCTAACGAGCCTAGCTTATGGCCAGGTTGAATCATTCATACTTCATTTGTTATACACAATATTAAATGTAAATTGCCTACTTAATTGCTTAACAGATCCACTTGGTAATAATGACTGGAAATGGATATACATGACTGAATCACTAGTTTCTGTCATAATTTTCTATAGACAAATACAACCTTCGTGATTTAACTTGGTAAATGTAATCACTGGGAGAGTTAGTGAGTTTGTTCCTAAGTAGAATATTAAAACAGGATAAATGATTAAATGGAGACATAAATAAAAGCACAGACGAATATGTCAGATCACAGTTGTGAATTTATTGGCAATTTACTAATAAATTTTTACCCTCCTATCACTAAATTCTCTTTTATTTTTAAGTGACAACGAATTAATTTAAGTGATAAATTTTAAGTAGTAAACATTGAAAGTATTTACCACTTAAAACATAATTAAGGCAACTATCAGGTATAGAAAGGACAAAATGGACAATAGTACTTAACCGAGCTTCAGTAAATCCCTTCGTTGTCTCCACCAGAAATAATCCGCGAGCGTTTGATCTATTTCTAATGTTAATTAGTATCTCTTAAATCCCCACACACGAGCACCTCAGACCCTATACCAACGCTAGTTCTCCCCTTTAAGATTTTTCTCTTCTGGGCAAATCAGACTCCTCCCAAATTTTAAGGGAACCAACACTACCTGAATGAATGCACTGGAGTCATTTATAACCTTAAAACAGTTATAGTTATCTCCAAATGCTTACATGACAGTGTCACCCTCTCACCTTACCTGGATCTTGCCTAGAGAGGGTCTCGGGAGTTCTTCTACTGCCTGAGACCAGGCTCTACTTGTGATAACTTGGTCCAACAGGCTGTTGCACCTCTCAAAACTGTATGCATTGGAATCAGACGTATTGAGGTCTCCCATTATATAGCATGTTATCTTTAACAGGCTGTATGACAGGCTGTCCTGCAACTCAGCTAGAACTATCTTATAGCATAGCGAGAGCTATGTTGCAACAGAGCAAGGGGTCTATCTTTCAACACAGCTAGGACAATCTTACAAATTATCTCACCTCTCCTCTTTAGCACAATGATAGCTGAAGCTGTGTGATATAGCTTTACATCTGGCTACTTGCCACAGAGTGCTAGCTGAAGCTGTGTGATATAGCTTTACACCTGGCCAGTCGATCATCGCTTGTTGCTTTGTTTTTCCATATAGCTCTGCAGCTGTCAACACCCAATATCACTTCTGACTACTTTGATTGCTACATTTCAGTTCGGAAAATATTTTCCCCTTTCACCCGCCACACACAACCAGCAAGTGAGTGAAGGTGTTTTGCTGAAGTTATATTCCAAAAGGTATATTTTGTAAAAGGTATATTTTAGTATATTTTGTGTTTTTATTTTTACTTTTGGATGGTAGAAGGGGTGTTATTGACAATGCAACCACGATGGGGAAAAATTATAATTGTTTTTTTTGTTTTAATTATGCAATATAAATATTTAAATCATTGCTATTCGGAAACCAGGGATTATTCTTTCAACATATTTTAGCAGTTGTGTATGTTACTGGATAATTTCGAGGATTACATGTTGTAGAAAAATCACTGAGCGAATTATATTAAACTATTTCGTGTTCAAGTGGGTGGATTGAATTCAAAGTAACGTCATTCATGTGAATGTATAATCTAGTAAAAAAAACTATGTTTTGAATACGTTCGTCAGTATTTTACACACACATACACACACATACACACACACACACACACACACACACACACACACACACACTCACACTCACACACACGCGCACACACACACACACACACACACACACACACACACACACACACACACACACACACACACACACACACACACACACACACACACACACACACACACATACACACATACACATACACACACACATACACACACACATACACACACACACACACACACACACACACACACACACACACACACACACACACACACACACACACACACACACACACACACACACACACACACACACACACACACACACACTCACACTCACACACACACTCACACACACACACACACACACACACACACACACACACACACACACACACACACACACACACACACACACACACACACACACACACACACACTCACACTCACACACACGCGCACACACACACACACACACACACACACACACACACACACACACACACACACACACACACACACACACACACACACACACACACACACTCACACTCACACTCACACACACGCGCACACACACACACACACACACACACACACACACACACACACACACACACACACACACACACACACACACACACACACACACACACACACACACACACACACACACACACACACACACACACACACACACACACACACACACACACACACACACACACACACACACACACACACACACACACACACACACACACACACACACACACACACACACACACTCACACACACGCGCACACACACACACACACACACACACACACACACACACACACACACACACACACACACACACACACACACACACACACACACACACACACACACACACACATACACATACACACACACATACACACACACATACACACACACATACACACACACACACACACACACACACACACACACACACACACACACACACACACACACACACACACACACACACACACACACACACACACACACACACAGGCCTCGTAGCCTGGTGGATAGCGCGCAGGACTCGTAATTCTGTGGCGCGGGTTCGATTCCCGCACGAGGCAGAAACAAATGGGCAAAGTTTCTTTCACCCTAAGTGCCCCTGTTACCTAGCAGTAAAATAGGTACCTGGGAGTTAGTCAGCTGTCACGGGCTGCTTCCTGGGGTGTGTGTGTGTGGTGTGGGGAAAAAAAAAAGTAGTTAGTAAACAGTTGATTGACAGTTGAGAGGCGGGCCGAAAGAGCAAAGCTCAACCCCCGCAAAACACAACTAGTAAACACACACACACACACACACACACACACACACACACACACACACACACACACACACATATGTATAAGGGAAACTAGAACAAATTAAAAATAATTGTCTAGTGGTTTGGCACTCAATACTAATAGTTTGGAGGGTCGTCACTTAATACAAGTCGTCTGATGGGTCTGGCACTTAAAGGAGTAACCTGGAGAAGTGGCACTTAGAAACATGTAGAGTCTGTAGAGCTGGTCCTTGAGCTTGATCCGAATGAACAAAGCGGACACGCAGCTCTAATCGCAGACACAAGGATCACTGCAATTATCACCATCTGTTGAAAATATGCAAACAAATCCACATTTAAAATTTACAGAAAACAAGAAAATCATATTGAATTATCATATACAGAGTTATATCATAAGCATGACTTACTCACCCTATCGGGCAGTGAAGTCAGTCACGTCAGTTCAGTTAAACTTGAACAGTCAGTAAAATTAGGAAAGTTAGATCGTAAAGTCAGTGAAATCAGTTACCCACTAAGCTACCACCGTCAGTGCACTTATACACCCAGTAAAATCTTTTAATAAAGTCAGCCAACAATCAACATAGTCAGGGCTGTCAAGCTCACTCACCAGCCTCCCAGCCAATAAACTCTCCGTGTTTCTGGTTGTTCTTCGTCAGCCACTCCTGCAGGGGCCTGAAGTACTCGGTCAAGGCGGAGGCGTTCATCTCCCTCTGGCCCGTCACCGCCTCCAGCGCCTCTGGCCAGGGTTTGGATTTTCCCAGCTGCATCATGGCCCTGTCAAAGGTAACGTTACCTCAGGCGCTGTGAATATTAAAAGCGTAATATCTACGATAAAATATTGAGGTCATGCGAGGCCAGGGACGCGACTTCGAGCCCATTAATACCCGCAATATATTCTTGTTACCGTTCTCTCTCTGGGATCTAAACTGGCACATTTAGACTCAGGTGTCTAGGGGCATTAAAACTCGGGTGTCTACTCTCTACGTACCGGAGAGCGTTGCCAGCTTCGGTGGAGTGGTAGAGGTCACATTCGTGGAGTGGTTTGGAGGAATGGAGCGGGTTGTATTCTCCTGCTATGATACACAGCGCTCTGTGGATCTGGAACTGCAATACGTGAGCTACGAAATACCTGGAATGAATAGTGGGCTTTGTTTATGGGAAACTTTACGCCAAAGACACTTACTTGTTTACTCTTCTCCTGCCTCTCTAAAATTTCCACATGTTAAAATTTTTCTTCTAACTTCAATACTTTGGGAGTCAATAATGGAACGTTTTTTTGCACCAACATCAAATTAATCAGACTGCAAAGAAAAATGTGTATGTGCGTACACAGAGAAATCACATTAGATTCAAACCAAAGCATAGGTTCGAATTCTCATCAAGGCTCCTACGTGTTTTCTCATGTATATGTAGTCTTATAGGAAAGTATACCTCACTCCTCCACGGGAGACTAACCTGATGTAATCAACGCCTGCAGCCACTTCATACATGGCTCCTGGATCGAAATCCTCTTCGCTCCGTGGAACTGGGGGCTTCATACCCTGCAATTGGAACCTGAAAACCACACCACACAACTTATGTAAAGAACCCCAGTATACCACTGACATAAATGTATGGATATAAAAGCCCATATGATGTGGGGTCGGAAAAATGACTGATCGTGTTTGAAAGAAGTGATCTTTACGCACCCATAAAGGCCATTTACAAGTATTTGGAAATTATTTAAGCAAAACTGTTTCATGTTATGTCATAACTAAAAGAAAACAAAGCTGATACCAGAACTAATAATTAAAAATGAGGTTTTCCAACTCCGGACGACGAGTGAGTGATTATATTCAGACAATATGCGCCATATTATCTCAATATAACCATTATATATGAAATCATCACTATTTCTTATATCAAGTATACTTTGTACAAGGTGCCAGATTTTTCAGGTATTTATAGACCAGTAAAAATCAATAAAATAAAGAGGATTACAAGACCAGGAACAATTGCTTGATGACACCCGCACCTCAGCTGCCACCAGGCACAGTTCCAGTGTGTGTGGGGGATGTCCCCGTTGAAGACATCCCACCGCCACATGTCAGCCAGGAAGGCAAAAGGCAGGAACGCGATCTTATTCAGGGCAATCTTCAGGAGAAAATTAATCTCGGCTTCTCGGTCTTCCTTGAGGTGGCTCAGAAGACCAATTTTCTTCAGATGTGTCTGGGTTGAGAGACTCATACTAAGGACGTGGCTAACCGCTTCCCCAAACCCTATGAAATAGAGCAATGTTGTTTGAAAACATTGTTGTGTCTGGGTGTATGTTTTCATTATATCTGAATCTGATAGAAAACATCTCATATTAATTTAGAACTCTTTACTGCAAATAACAAATCGTTCAGTTTATTTGATCAGAGAAGAAGCTGTAGCCTGGAAGCCGCAGTGGTCAGTACCGCTGGTCCGCAATGTGACTAACTATTCAGGCTTTATTGGTTTAAAAAAATTACCAATTATTTAAGTATATGATTTGATGAAAATTAAACATTTTAGAGTAAATCTGCCTATTTTTCATATTATTTTACACTTGGAATATATTAGAGGGACTGGTTCCAAATCTGCACACGGAAATAATATAACATATGACCAAGAGGCACGACAGGATGTGCAAAATAGCTCTTTTGAAAAACAGAGGTACAACAGGTACGGCGAGAGAGAACTCTTGTCAACTGCAAAGGTCCAAGACTTTTCAACACTCCCGCTACACGTAAGGGACATAAATGGCCGATTTCCTCACGGTGTTCAAAAGAGAACTCGATAACCACCACCAAAGGATATCTGATCAACCAGGCTGTGATTCATTTTACATTAACATTAAATTCTTTACCAAAGAGAAATTCATAATAACAGCGCAATATAATAATAATTATATACTGAATACTCAATATTTAGATTAAGAAGCTACATTTATCAGCAATTTAAAAAGTAATTATTAGGTTGTTAAATTTAGATTCAGAAACTATTTTGTAACATGTTTAAAACTTTTCAGTGTGAAGGGACGACGACGTTTCGGTCCGTCCTGGACCATTCTCAAGTCGATTGTCGACTTGAGACTGGTCCGAAACGTCGTCGTCCCTTCATCTTCTAGTGTGTGGTCTGGTCAACAAATGTACATCAGTCATTATCAAATTCATATTTATTGCATAAACTGAATAACATTTAGCTTACAATTTGAAAGATGCTTATCGATATCTATAACATATCCAGCTTACCAGGATTGGCGCTCCCCCGGAATACCAAAGGCAGGTGCTTGTACTGCATCTGGTACTGTGTGCGGCCCATGGCGTGGTGGATGGAAATCAAGTTTGACATTGAAACCTCCGTGCACATTGTGATTCTTGAAGTGGAAATAAAAATGCCTGCATTTATGACTGTCCAAAAGTTAAACTCATCTCTGGTGTATTGTGATATTTATTTACAATGAATTACTTTAGTATAATGAATATCTTTGTCTACCGAGGTTATTTTTTAATCCAACCAGTGACTAAATTTAATCCAAAATTGAGTATTTGAAATCCAGAATTAATTATGAACTGGTCATTATCGCAATTTATACTTTTAGAAATGCAAAAAAGAGTATTACACGCAGAAATCAGAATAGCGTGATGCATCAAATGAACAAATCCACGTTCATTTGGATTAAGGCAGCGTCTGGGATCCTCTCGGACGCAGGTTCGAACCCTCATCACGGCCCTTTTGGATTTGTTCAAAAAGAGTATTCTAATTAATATTTAACATATTTCTCACCTGTAGTCCTTGCCGTTACAAAAGTCCCAAGAAGAAGAGTGACACAGGGAATTGGCGGGTTTCTCAAGGATAGAATGTTGCCAAAACGCTTCAGGCAGCCGTGTCAGGTTCATTGAAGCGAAGAAGTCGTCCGCCACCTCCAGCATCATCTTCGGTGTGTACCCCTGCAAGATTCAGGGAGATAGTTATGGAGAAAGCTACCTTCAGCCATCACTTTACCCACAACATTCTCAGCTATATAATTTTCTAACCGGAAAAAGACATCTTTAAACGTTTTAAATAATTTCTTTGATTGGTCGATCGGGAAGACGTTCTATTGACAGGAATTTCTTCCAGTGGAAGTTTTTAGTTTAGTTCATTTATTATGCACCCCATACCCATCTTGTGGGCGGTAGTGGAAAGGGTTACAGAGGCACATAATGGGCTCAGGGACTGAACCCCACAATTCATTTAGCTAAGCAAGTTACAATCTTGATGAGCTAGTTACAAAATTCAATATAAGTCGTCAAATCAACAATGGGTTCGAGATCGACCTCAAGTACAGGTGAAAGCACAGATGAAGGAACATACCAGCTTCCGCATCTGTTCCGTGACGTCCAGTGACTTCCTGGCCGGGTAAGGGGCCACCAAGTGGTAGATGTGGTCCCACCTCTGAGCCCACATGTCCCCCAGCAGGTGGGCCGGGATGGGCCCCCGGGCCGTCACCCGCTCGGCCCCATACACCTGTAAGAGCAACTCTCTGTTACCTTCACTTGTTTACATGGAGCAAATAATATTTTTGTACCGACTTACGAGACAAAAGTCTAGAGTAAATTGATTAGTGATTCGGTTACTCCAGTCTATTGTTGGAAATAGTCTAGAGAGAGAGAGAGAGAGAGAGAGAGAGAGAGAGAGACAGACAGACAGAGAGAGACAGAGAGAGAGAGAGAGAGAGAGAGAGAGAGAGAGAGAGAGAGACAGACAGACAGAGAGAGACAGAGAGAGACAGAGACAGAGAGAGAGAGCATGGATCTAATGCCACGAACAGCATTGTATTGCTACGAAACTGAGGGAAGGCAGAGCTGTGGCCCCGATCAAGGTATGTGTAAATATGATGATAGTATATACGATCAAAGCAATGTGGCTGTCGACGACATCATCGTCCTCTCACAAGTTACTCTCCAAACAACTAACCTCTCGTAGTTTCCTCCTGACGTAGGCGTGCAGCTGCTTGTAGAGAGGCATCTGCTGCTTGTAACTGTCTGCTACATTGTCCATAAAGGTTCCTGTCTCGTTGTATTCAATCAGCCACATCTCCGCCATGTTGTTGAATCCTGTTAAAGCCAAACACATAGATGGAAAACTTTGAGCATGTTGTAAATTTCAGATGAATACAAATATTTATCATTAACTTAGTTCATTTATTATTGGCATTATATCACACATTTTTGGTTTCATCCAAATTATATTAGTTTTCTACGATTAATATTGAATTTTCTAGTGACTAGCTCGAGAATTCTACCTTCCTTAAAGAAGGCAAACTTGGGCATACCAAAATATTGTTGACATTTGGCTAATGACTAATAATCAAGGTTCTCTCGTAGGGGAAACACTGTCTGACTTACCATTGAGCTTGGCGGCCTCGTTGGCCAGCTGGGTGTACTCTCTGTAGAGACCGTTCATCTTCCTGCCAGAGCTGTCCCGCCAAGCTTGCCAGGCCTGTGTCAGCTCCTCGTAGTCCCGGCTCTCCTGCATGATCTGAGTCAGCTCTGTGGTCAGAACGAGAGAGAGAGGTTGATGTCAGCAGTCACCCCATCACAATAATATTGGTTGATGTCAGCTGTCAACTCTGTGGTTACAATGATGTTGGTGGTTGATGTCACCTACCAGTTATGTGGTGACAATGGTAATGGCTTATGTCAACTGTTTTAGCGAGATTCACAATACCTGAGGGAGAATGATCGCGACTGGTATAAAGGTTCCGAGTGTTGGAAATCACACAAAAATTTGAGTGAAATCACACCTGGTTTGAGGCTGAGGTCACACCTGGTCGAGTTCTTGAAGTCACAGGTCTTGGCGGTGTTATAGACGTCCAGCATCTTTGACTTGATGGCGCGTATCTGCTTGGAATAGTCATGGCTTAATTTATGTGTTTTTAATGTTATTCGTAAACATTATTATAGAAAACATTAGCTGAATGATTCATGTGCAAAGAAATTGTATTAAAGTGATGTATCAATGATAAAATTAGTAGGCGCAATGAAGAGCATTCGAACCTGCATACTAGGGTATTCCGAAGCTCACGCCTTAGACCACTTAACCACGACATGCTAAAAGCAATGAAATGCAAGATTTGTGTTTTGTCAAGATACACAAGAAAATTGTATAATTAAAACACTAGAGAAAAAGATAAGAATTAAATTCATAATTCGTTAAGGAAGCCGCTGTGTTTGACCACCAAGAAATATTTTGACTCAGCATTTGCTGTTTGCTCCAGACAGCTTATTCAGTGAAAATTAAAATATCTAACCATGACGACATTGTCATATCTTGAGGCCTTTTATGTGTCTCAGCCCATAAATGCTCTCTTTTATTGTTTAAAATTCTGTGATCTAAAAGATATCTGATACACGTGCAGGCGATGAGTCACAATAACGTGGCTAAAGTATGTTGACCAGACCACACACTAGAAGGTGAAGGGACGACGACGTTTCGGTCCGTCCTGGACCATTCTCAAGTCGATTGTCGACTTGAGAATGGTCCAGGACGGACCGAAATGTCGTCGTCCCTTCACTTTCTAGTGTGGGGTTTAGTCAACACATTATTATAACAAATATATTAAGTTTTAATCGTATTGAAGCTCTTTATTAAATTTAATTCAATAAAGCATTAAGAAACAAGAGCAAACCTTCGCCAGTTCGTCGTCGGGCAAGGCGGCTGTGCCCAGGATGGAGAGCAACTGGAACTGTCTTGTGAGGTGCCCTGGCAGCTCACCTAAGTGCTCCTTAAACACCTGCGCTGCCTGCCACATCTCCTTCTGCCACTGGTCGTGGGGCAGCGTGGCCTCCTCCTCCTACAGGAGAGGACTCGGATGAAGCCGCTGCACTAAACACTTCTTTCCTTTACAATATATTACATAAACAACTACGAAGCCTCTTAAATAAATCGAAAGTTTATGAAAGTCAAATAATTCAAATTTATTCTAAATTTAATGCATTACTTAAGAGATGAATTCGATAACTGATAGCGCTAATATACTCTTGTGGAAACATCTTTAAAGTAACGATATTTGGGATTCAAGTAATATTTGGTTGTTATTTGAGGAAGATTTTCAACTGAACCCACAAAGGGACCAAGATGGAAACCCACAAAGGGACCAAGATGGAAACCCACAAAGGGACCAAGATGGAAACCCACAAAGGGACCAAGATGGAAACCCACAAAGGGACCAAGATGGAAACCCACAAAGGGACCAAGATGGAGAATGGGACAAAGGTCAGATTCACAAATTTTATACGTGAATATTTCAAGACTGGCTAAGCTTGCTCCTAGACCTACAGAACATTACAAAGTGGCTTAACTTGCACTAGACCTACAGAACATTACAAGACTGACTGTTCAAGAGTAGATGAAGTGAGGACAGGAAAAAAACAGTGGAAGTTATAAGATATAAGTCAAATTACCCCCAAAACAAAATATGATTATTACGGAAATGTTAAGAACACACAAAAATGAACTCATTACTAATTCCGCAATAATGCGTTGATGCATTTAAATAAAATATAACCCAAAATTATTAGCGTCTGTCCCGCTTTCACCCGCAACGGTGAAGAAAATATACGAAAGGAAACTTAAGATAAACATCCTGGGTGGAACTCACAGCATCCGGGAGGCTGAGATGATGCTGCCACTGAGAGAGCATCACCTTGCTGCACTTCTCTGACGCCAGAGTGTCCAGACTCTCCAGGAAGGCGCTAGCCACACTCTCCACATTGCTCCTGGATACATGGATGCTGCCACCTGTCGACCAAAGTTTTGGGGTTGAGGCCTACCATTCTCAAGAGGGCTTAAGGGGGGCATAATTTAGAATATTAAAGTTGTTCAAATTAAATCAAACTTTATATATATATATATATATATATATATATATATATATATATATATATATATATATATATATATATATATATATATATATATATGTCGTACCTAGTAGCCAGAACGCACTTCTCAGCCTACTATGCAAGGCCCGATTTGCCTAATAAGCCAAGTTTTCATGAATTAATTGCTTTTCGACTACCTAACCTACCTAACCTAACCTAACCTAACTTTTTCGGCTACCTAACCAAACCTAACATATAAAGATTGGTTAGGTTAGGTTAGGTAGGGTTGGTTAGATTTGGTCATATATCTACGTTAATTTTAACTCCAATAAAAGAAAATTGACCTCATACATAATGAAATGGGTATCTTTATCCTTTCATAAGAAAAAATTAGAGAAAATATATTATTTCAGGAAAACTTGGCATATTAGGCAAATCGGGCCTTGCATACTAGGCCGAGAAGTGCGTTCTGGCTACTAGGTACGACATATATATAATATACATATATATATATATATATATATATATATATATATATATATATATATATATATATATATATATATATATATATTGTGACAATAATCTCCTTCAAGAGATTGAGCCTGCTCTTCCCTTCATAATTACGTCGTCACAATTATATAAAAGACTATGGAAGAAATGTCAAACAACGACAACAACACCAACACCAGCAAGGCTTGCAAGGGTGAGCAGAAACGTATGCAGCCCGCCACCTGTTCGGACCCAAATCACCAAACTACCCGTTGATCGCTACGGCTCCGCTGATTGGTCGCCGGTCTGGCTGCACCTGCACTCGCCCCCCAATACTACCCGATGTCTGGGGTCGCCCCAACATCAGTCTTCAGAATGTTCCGTGCTTTCGTAGCCAGCACTCCTCCCAGCTAGACGTTAGCGTGTACTGAGAGAGGTGGTGGCTTTAAGCCAATATTCCAGCACCTCCCACTTAACTTTTGTGTTGCACTTCTTATTATTTTGCCTTAACGTAACTTTCATTGTGTCATTTAAGTATTCTTATTATTTTGATTCATTGATTTTATTATACATATTTGTTTGTCCATATTTTCATGTTTTGATTTATTTAACGTAATTAAAATTTCATTGTTAAAGTTTTACTTGTGTTTTGTGTGTCTTCTCCTTACCTTACCACAGACGAAGTTCCAGTTTTTCTATTTTTTTTTATAACTATGTGACGAGGCCATACCCCTAGCCTTAAACAGCCGAACACCAACGCGTTACCGTCACAAGTTATATGGGGGCCTGTCCTAGGAGCTTCACTCAGGTACTGGTGCCAAGTGGTAATTTATGGTAAGCGTATTTAACTCTGTTAACGTAGCTTTACTATTTTTCATTCAATTTCATTTTTTATAAGGTGCGGTGTATTGTGCATTACGAGAGTAACATATAGTGAAGGTGAGACAACTTTGGATTACGTGGTGACTGTAGGCCTCAGTCATACTCTTAATTGGTCATCTCTCCCTCCATGTTATTACTCGTATTTACCATCTATGTCCCTTGAATATTTCTCATTCTGACAGATCATCATATTGGTACCCTGGTACTGTGGTCTGCCCCGGGTCAAGAGTACCCAATCTTCTGCAATCTGACTGTAGGAGGACAAAGAGGGCCATAGTTCCTCTAGCTCGAACTTTAGTTGCTGAATTGGGACCTCAGCAGCAGTTCTCGTCACCAGTTGACACCTCGCACCCCTACACGTCAGTCAGAGATGATGATACATACAACGGTAGGGAATTAGCTTATTTTTTCAGAGCACAAAAGTTCGCTAATTCTGTAAGTATCATATTAAATTCAGTGGGGAAAACTTGCTTTATGTCCTATAGAGACTTGGCAAGGTATGCCTACATCCTTGGACTACCAATTTTACTTTTGAAGCATTTAACTGTTTCATTTGTTTTCGAAACTTTGTTTCATTTGTTAGTAGGATTTTCTTGCCCTTATTCTCTTACATGAGTACCGGGTACAAGATTTCCTGCGCCCTTGATTTAATTTAATCATTTAATATCTTTCACTTAACGTTAATTGTTAAAGATCACACAGGATAGGTGCCAGTTGCCACGTTGTCCTGTTTCTGACATTTCATTATTGAACATTCGTGTACCTTTATTTGCTAATTTCACCATGTTTCGTCTCCAAACTTTCCGTGCAAATCCAGCAGGTGAAATAGGGACTTTAAGTCGTGCCAAGAGGACTGAACTACAAACTCTTGCACATGAGTATCAACTAGAAGTTCCCTACCAAGCCAACAAAAATGACCTACACAACCTGTTGCTGGATTACTATTTAGAGCAAGGTAAGATAGACTCTGAAACTCATGAAACTTACTATATTGCAGAGAAAACTGACTTGGCAACGATGAAACTTAAACTAGAGCTGGCCAAGATTGAACGTGAGCAGCAAAGAGAAGCAGCTGCCATACGAAGAGAAGAACACGAGAACGCGAAGCTGCTTTGAGGAGGGAAGAACAAGAACGAGAAATCACCCTCAGAGAACGTGAAGCTGCCTTGAGGAGAGACGAACAAGAACGTGAGGTTGCACTACTCCAGGAGCGGGAACGAGTACAGCTTGAAACCAAACGACGCGAGTTGGAGATGCAACGCGAACATGACAAGCAACAAGCGACTCTGGCTCTAGAGTGTCGTCAACGCGAAATCTCCTTGGAAACTTCACACTTCACTCAACGCCAACAAGCTACTGCCAATCTTCCCGTCAGTTTTAATATATCACATGCAAGTAAGTTAATGCCATCCTTTGTAGAAGCAGAAGTTGATGTGTTCTTTACCACCTTTGAAACCCTTGCTAATCAACTCAGTTGGCCTGTCGACCAATGGGCCACACTTCTCAGAGTCCATCTTACAGGTAGAGCTGCAGTCACACTCAGTACTTTGGCGTCTGAGAATGACTACTACACTCTGAAACAAGCAGTGTTGGACGCCTACCTACTTTCCACCGAAAGTTATAGAAGGAAATTCCGTGACCACCTGAAGGCAAGTACCACTACCTTCCTCGAGTTTGCTAACACGAAACGGAGGTATTTCATGAAATGGCTGGAAGCAGCACATGTCTCTACTTTTACAGAACTCGTCAACCTGATGCTTGTTGAAGAATTCTTGAGACGTGTGCCGCCTCCTGTCCGCCTCTACTTAGCAGATAAAGAAGAAACCGACTACCTGAAGTGTGCTAAGTCGGCTGACACTTACAGCCTCATCCACCGGCTGACACCTGAACCATCCTCCAGTAAGAAGTCGTGGTACAGTTACGAGAAGGTGAGCCCCGATCAAGCTGGTTCACAACTGTACTGCAAATATTGTAGACTCTATGGACATACCATAGACAAGTGTGGTAAGTCTCAATACAAGGGAACCACTGACCAACAACGACCCAAACCAACTCCTCCTAAGTCCGGTAAGCCTGTGATGAATGTTGGTGTTGATGTTAATGATCTTTCTCTTTTCAGTAACCACCTGTATACTGGAACTGTCTCTGCCAACGGTTCAAATCCGGAGGGACGTTTCAAATTGAAGATCTTGAGGGACACAGCGGCTCTACAATCGATCATCTTGAAGTCGGCTGTGCCCAACATAGTCTACACCGGGGAAACGGTCTTCATCACTGACCTCACTGCTACTACTCCATACCCTCTCGCCAGAGTCCACCTGGATTGTCCCTACGTGAACGGGGAAGTCCAAGTCGCCGTCAGGGAAAAGCCTTTTCCCATGCCTGGAGTGCAACTTCTCCTAGGCAACGACTTGGCAGAAGACCTGCAACCAACCAACCTGATCGTCATGGACAAACCCCAGGTGTGTAACTCTGTGCCAAGTAACCCTATTCTTGAGTATGTTCCAGCAGAGGTTCAAGAGAGTGAAGTTTCTCCTCCGGTTCTCGTGAACACCCGTGCACAAGCCGCACGTCCACAGCCAGCTGACTCTACTGCTACCGCTGTCCCTCAAGACCCTCAGAAACTACCCCCGCATCTGACCAAGTTGGAGTTCCGTAAGTTGCAGAGGGAAGATCTTACTTTAACACCATTGTTTTTCCAGGCTGAGACTCAACCCGACAGTATTCCTGGGTTCTTCCTAGAGAACGACTTGCTCTACCGCAGATATAGACCCAGTAAACTGAAGGAGGAGGACGATTGGGCCAACACCGAACAACTTGTGATTCCCACCAGCCTGCGGCCCACTATTCTACACCTGGCCCACGGAGCATTCTCCCACTACGGCTTCAACAAGACTTACCATGGGATTCGTCAAGACTACTACTGGCCAGGTATGGTAAACAACGTCAAACAGTACGTAAAACAGTGTCATACATGTCAGAGGGCAGGCAAACCGAACGTCTCCATTCCCAGAGCACCACTGATTCCCATACAGGTGCCTGCGGAACCTTTCCACAGACTCATAATAGACTGTGTTGGTCCTTTACCTCGGACCAGTTCAGGTAACGCCTACATCCTAACCATCCTGTGTCCTACCACCAGATTTCCCATAGCAGTTCCAGTGAAGAACATCACGGCTGCTACGGTTATCAAACATCTACTGAAGATCTTCACTCAATACGGATTTCCCAGGGAGATTCAAAGTGACTGTGGCACCAACTTCACCAGTGATCTCTTCAAAAGAACACTGGAGGAGTTCAACATCAAACAGGTATTGTCCAGCCCCTATCATCCTGCTTCACAGGGTTCTCTTGAACGTAGTCATCAGACCATCAAAGCACTCTTGAAAAAGTTTTGTAGTGAAACCTCAAAGGATTGGGATAAGCAGATTGACCTAATAATGTGTATTTTCAGAAGTCTCCCCAATGAGTCCCTAGGAGTATCTCCTTATGAGATGCTCTACGGCCGTAAGTGCCGTACTCCCCTTAAGGCTTTCAAAGACT